CTGAGCTGGATGGGGTACTGTCTGAAAGGGGGACTGTTCAGCAGGCCCCAACTCACACCAATACTCAAGAAACTGTGTCCCTGCTCAGGATGCCTCGGAGCGATGCTCTGACAGATGTCTATGATGGTGTCTCTGTCCTTGGATCCACTCACACCAAATCACTGGACCCATTGAATCTGTTCAGATATACAGCCTTTGCTGCAATGTGCTCTGGCACCCAGGCACCCACTCTTGGCAATCACCACCTGGATTGCATGGCATTTGCAGTTGCAGTCATGAATGGTACTGCACTCATTGCAAGTGGCCAGCAGTTGTGGAGCACTGATGGTATTCTCCTAGAACCCCTTTCACTTAATGAAGCTAAAGCACATGATGATTGGGGCAAATGGGAGGAGGCAATGACTAATGAGATGGCCAGCATGCACAAGATGAGCATCTTTGTGTTGGCTGACATTCCTGCCGATGGCAAGCTCATCAGTGCTTGCTGGGTGTATAAACTCAAACTCAATGCCCAATGTCAAGCCACATGATACAAAGCCCACCTTGTCACTCAGGGGTATGCTCAATGCCAGGGCCTTGACTATGACCAAACCTTTAGTCTGGTCATCCATTTACAAACAGTCCACATACTACTTGCCATTGCACAACTATATGGACTGTATGCCATTCAACTCAACATCAGCACAGCCTTTCTCAATGGCAAAATCAACAAGGACATGTATGTCCAAATACCACTGACTTTCGAAACAGCCAAAATGGAAGGGAAATGCTACAAGTTACAGAAGGCCCTATATGGTCTCAAGCAGGCCAGATGACTATGGCACACAGCCCTTGATGAACAACTTCAAGCTTTCAGTTTCAAGCATTGCCATGCTGAACCATGTGTATACACACATGGTTCCAACAATGCAATGGTATTACTCACCATCTATGTCAACAACTTGCTGGTTATAGGAGCAACTGCATCATGGGTCAAGGCAGTACAACAACAACTCTCAAGCACCTTCAGTATCATGGACCAAGGTAACATGTCCCACATCATTGGTTTCAACATACATTACAATCAGGAAGGATGTACACTTATGATTGATCAAAGGGGATACATCAAAGGGGTTTTGACAAAGTTTGGTATGGATGAGGCATGGACAGCCCCAATGCTGGCAATGGAAATGATCAATACCCTTGGACTGCAGGAAGGTGATATGGCCAGCACAGAAGAGGTGCATCATGTCATGGGCCTAAATGCTCAGGAAGCAGGAGGGTCGCTGGTTCATATGGAAGGAGCACAGGTATCGAAGATCTAGTCGACACCAGTAGAGAGCATGGTTGTAGTGCAGTCTCCATGGAGACCATGGACTCCTACAGACTCACATGCAAAGGAGGACCGAGCCATATGCGAGGAGGGCCAGGCACAGCCATGAGGAGGACCAAGCTCAAGGAGCAGGCACAGCCACGAAGAGGACCAAGCTCAAGGAGCAGGCACAGCCACGAAGAGGACCAAGCTCAGATGGTTACCACTCAGGGGCTCGAGAGACAAGAGTCAAAGGAACTGTCACTGGTCAAAGGAAGAGGAGCAGTGTTGAAGGAGTCGACACCAGGTCATGAGGAGGAGGAGCAGTGTCGAAGGAGTAGACACCACTCAAGAGACACAGGGGTGCCAAGCAGGAGAGGCCCCTGAACAGCACTCGATGAAGAAGGTACTCTCTGGAGAGAGAGCAGGAGCAGCATCGCTGGCGATGCTGTGAAGAGGTATATAACCATGCTTTCTCATCATCAATAGGTCGAGTGGATCCTCATCCACTCTACTCACCATAACTAGTTATCACTTCAGCATAAGTATATATTAGTTTCAGTCAGCATAGCAGCAATCCATCAAAGGTTGCTCCTCATCGTAGTGTGTGTGTTGTATCACCACTACCTGATGTCCGAAGGCGCCCATAGCAGGTTAGCGGTCCGGATCAAGATATAACCGAAGGCAGTAGTCCACTGCGGTCTGGGGATCACTTCAAGCGTCAAAGTCAACACACTGGACACTCGTGTTGATGCCACCAACCTTATCACCAACACCATCAACCTTATTATCATCAACACTCACCAACCTTATCACCAAACGTCATCAACCTCATCATCATCAACACTCACACCAGACCTTGGTGTCCTCATAACATTGATATTGATCATGCCAAGCTACCCCTGAACGGAGTGTCCACAGAGGTCAGCCGAAACCACGATAGTATATACAATGAACGCCACCTGCTGTCACTGCGCAACTTGATAGTCACCGATACCGAGACAATAGCTGTCGCACAGTTTGATAGTCACCGATTATCTCGACAGACCGACCTGGGTTTCAGGCGCGAGACCCCTGACACATCACTATGCATCGCTCATTGGATCACTGCTGTGGATTGCCCAAGGCAGCAGGCCTGACATAGCTTTCACTGTAGGTTGCTGTGTGCAGTTCATCACAAACTTGTTGGGGGAACACCTAGTGGCAGCCAAGTGCATGCTGAGGTATCTCAAAGGGACAGTTGGGGTTAGTCTCATGGTGCACATGCCAACCAGCAAATGGATACTTACAGGATGGGCCGATAGTGACTGGGCCAGGTCATGCAACTGCAGAAGGTTGACATCTGGGTACATCTTCACTATTGGAGGACTGATATGTAGTTGGTCTTCCTGACTTCAGCTGACAGTTGCAAACAGTTTGGTAGAAGCAGAGTATGTAGCATTAGCAGCAGCAGCAAGAGAACTGTTGTGGACCTCAATGCTCTTGCAGGAGCTGGAGCAACCAGTGCCAAGGACAGCTGAGATCCATGTAAGTGTTGAAACTTTGACCTTCCACTCCCACAATGGGGAACTTGTCTATGATCAGAACATACCAATCCTGTACAGTGACTCATCAGGAGCATGCACAATTGCAAATGACCCCCAACATTTCAAGAGGACTAAGCACATCAACATTGTTCATTTCTTTCTGCAGGACAAGATCACTAATTGACGACTCATGGTGGCCCCAGTCCAAAGCAGCAAGAACCTTGCCAACATACTGACTAAGCCACTTACAGCACTGACACTCCTACATGTCCAAGGACTATTTGGCTTGACAACATCACAAATGCATACTGGATTGAGAGGGGGTGCTGGAGATAATGATCCAGCAGAACATGATCTGGTGACTGATTGGGGAGGGTTAATCAGATTGGAGATCAGGCAGGCCCACATGATGATGATCGAGGGCAACAGTGACACATCTGTTGTCACAGATGGTCATTAGGTGGGATATTCTCACAGACAGCCACAAACCAGAATGTATATAGATAGTAAACAGAGAGCTTGAGCTACCACAGTGTTCTTTCCCAATGTCAATATAGTATAGTGTTTAGCTCGATAAGCTTGGACACTGTACTGTGACTACTACCTCCTGATAAGGGTCGATCGGAGTTCTATTTTCCAGCACTTTGAGGGTTGGTTGGGCCACTCCTTGCCCCAAGTTCAGCTTTGTTGGCTCGCTTGGCCTAACAGACTACGTTCATGCCACTTTCTGTCCTGAGCCCGTGCATCAGACACACCCAAAACAAGCAGAGACTTGGAATACAGTTGAAGATGCGCCGGCATCGGCATTCCAACAGGATTCACAGGGTCCGCAGAGCACAGGCGAGACATCGATGAAGCGAAGTCATGCATAGATGGTGTGCATGTGGGATGCATAAGCATTGCCATAGCAACACTCAGGAGTATTACAGGAGGCAACAACTCAGGAGTGATACGAGGAGTAGCTCATCACAGTCCAGCATGTCTAGGAGGCAATGATCAAGTATATATACCCTCACATACATAGCATCCATTGATAGAAATAATAAGCATTCGAGAAGTCATATGCCTGTGATCAGGAGCTTGTTAGTAGCTCAGGACAAGCGTACCACACGTCGTAATCTTCAAATAATACGACTGCTGGACCATTCGAAAGCAACTTTGGTCAACAGCTCAAGACTCCTTGACGATGCTCTTCGAGGTCGAGCGAAGCTAGCTCATCGAGAAAGACGAAAGCTGAACGTGGTGGAAATAGAAATTGACTTCGAAAAGGCAGCACCAAAATTGAAACATACCAAAGAGACAACCTGCCTTGGTATCGAGCAATCTTCTTCCAACCTGCACTCCTACACAGTTTGTTTCTTCCTGTAAGATCCAGAGACGCTGGGTGCCGGGAGGTGAAGAGTGGTCGAAGGAGCCCAGCATGAGCCAGAATCAAATGCAGTAGCGAGTTGAATATTGGCCACATTTGAAACAAAATCCCAAACGCCTAAACAATGGGCAGGAGTTGCAGATGTGTCGGCACTCCAACCTGTATACAGGAGCATTAGCCGAGACACCAAGGGGCTGAGAACATGCATAAGCAATGAAGACAATAAAGCACATGAGGGTTGCCATACCAATGGCTCATGTGCTCCACTGCAGAAGGTGGCAACTCAGGGGTCTTATAGGAGGTAGCTCAACTCATTTGAGCATGATCAAAGTTGGCAATAGAGTATATATATGTCCACTAAGGATGCAACTGATGAACAAGAAATACAAGCTTTTTCACAAGAACATATGCCTGTGGATACAAGCTTGTTAGTAGCTCAGGACAGTGTACAGTCTTGGTAATCTTCAACTGATTAAGAGTCTGAAGCTCCACCAACTGAGCCATGGAACCCATCAACAACATGGTAGAAGAAACCAAAACCTAACCTGGCACAAGCAGGGCCAAAGGAGGTAGAAAGGGTAAAGCAGCCCAGTTGTGAGTTGATAACAAGGCCATCAACAAGATGGAAATTGAGGTGCTTGACAATGATGCCAATGAAGGAACCAACTCCAACTTTGACCTTGACAGTGGCAGCAAGCAACACAACTTCTGTACCTTGGCAAAGCTCCTCAAGCCAGTGCCCAAACTCACATTGCACAACTACTACAGCTGGAGTGCCCACATCAAGTCCTTCCTCTGATTGGTGCCACACACAATGAAACACCTCAAAGGAGCTTATGATAAGAAGCACAACAAGTGGAATCACACATTTGATGATGCCCTAACTAATGCCCTGCATGGTACCATCAACACCACCATCAAATACAATGTAAACTACTTGATTCTCAACATCATCAGAGAATATCACACTTTCCATCAAGTCTGGAAGAAGATTGAGAACAGCCTGACTAACAAAGCTACTGCAATCTCACATCAACTCACACTCATTGCTCAGCTAGGCAACATCAGGATGTTCAACTCCAATGCTCAAAAGCTTATCCAAGAAATCAGATCTATTCAGATGGAGAGCAGCCTCCTGGGAAAATTGTTTGCCAATGACACTCTGTTCTTGAACCTGCAGAAGTGCACAATATGCCACCCCATGTACAAGGAAACAGTTGCAACCATCAGTCAGCTCAACTTTAATGCCCTCACCACTGCTTTGACCATCTGTCAGTCTGCAATTGAAAGTAACCCCACCCAGAAGATAGACCCCTGCCAGGCCAGTGCTAGAATCACCAGCAGTGACAATCAGGACAAATCAGCCAAGACAGACAAGAAGGACAAGAAAGATGATGGTTGCACAAGTGTGAGGGTTGCAGCCAGACCCAAAAAGATCCAATGCTGGGTGTGCAAGCAATCTGGACACAGAGCCAGGCAGTGTGATGCTTCTGTAACCATTCCCAAGAATTCTCCTCTCACAAAAGCAGACTAGGAGGTCTGGTGTTCCTTCACACTGAGTTGGCAGAAGCCCCTGAATTCAAAAGAGACATGTTGTTGGATCTTAGACTCAGGGGCCAGCTATCACATGGTTAATAACTATAGCATGCTCATTTGCCTAAGAACTTGCTGTCAGCGGTCACTCACCTGAAACCTGAGATCGGTAGTAGTGTTGATACTATTACCGATTCTGTTGAGTTATGTGACAACACTAGTGGTATTTTGATTCTCAGTGAAACATGCAATAAAGCTGTCTCTATCACTTTTCCCACTCGAATCTGTAGTTGTAGTATTGCTATTACAGGTTTTGACTAACTGCTGTGGACACTCCATCCAGAGGTAGCTCAGCACAATCAATATCAATACATGAGTATGGTAACACCAAGATATGGTGTGAGTATCTTGTTGGTAATGTGATTGGTGGCATTGACATGAGTGTCCAGTGTGTCAACTATTGCTTGAGGTGATCCCTGGACCACAGTGGACTACTGCCTTTGGTTCTATCTTTATCCAGACTGCTGGTTTGCTATGAACCACCTTTGGACATCAGTGAGCAGTGATACAACACATGCACTACAAGGAAGAGCAATCTATCGATTACTACTATGCTGACTGAACTAATGAGTACTTATGCTTCTGAAGTAATACTAGTCATGGTGTGTAGAGTGGATGAGGATTCACTTGACCACTTATGGCAAGAAGGTATGGTTATATATACCCCTTCACAGCGTCGCCAGTGACGCTGCTCCAGCTCTCTCTCCAGAGAGTACCTTCTTCACTGAGTACTTGTGCAGGGGTCCCTGATGAGATGCCTCCTCCTCATCAAGCCCTGCTTGCCCATTCTCCTGTCTGTCCTTCTGGAGCTGTGTGCCAACTCCTTTGACACTGTTCCTCCTCCTCATGGTCTGTTTGCCAGTGTCCTTGACATGGCTCTTCTTCCTTCAACTGGCAATGGTTCCCTTGACTCCTATCTTGTGAACCCCTGAGTGGTAACCATCTGCATGCTCCTTGAGCTTGGTCCCCTTCTTGGCAGTGCCTGATCCTCCTCGCATGCGAGCTTGGTCCTCCTCACATGTGAATCGTCATATGAATATCCTTATCACTGATCTCTGCAGAATCTGCCATATGATCATGCTTACTACAGATTCTGGTGGGATTCGTGATATCAACTTCATTTGTGCAGATCTTGTTGAGATCTGTCATAGAACTGTGTCTACTACTGATCTCACTGAATTCTTCTGTAATTCCCATGTTCTGCCTGATCCCTCAATTCCTGCGCTCCCTTCATATGAACTACGGGTCTTCCTACTTCCTGCGCATCCAGGTGTCAGCGGTCACGCGCCTGAAACCTGTGATCGGTGGTAGTACTGATACTATTACCGATTCTGTCGAGTTATGCGACAGTGCTAATGGTATTTCGATTCCTAGTGAAATATGTGACAGAGCCACCTCTGTCACTTTTCATGTTGGAATCTGTAGTTGTATTGACATTATGACAGATTTTGACTGACCACTGTGGACACTCCATCCAGGGGTAGCTTGGCATGATCAAAATACAATACAACTCTAAGTGAACTTGATGTTGACACCAATGGTCTGGTGTGAGTATGGATTGATGACATTGACATGAGTGTCCAGTGTGTCGACTAACACTTGAGGTGATCCCTGGACCTCAGTGGATGACTGCCTTCAGTTCTATCGTTATCTGGACTGCAGGTTTACTATGAACCACCTTCGGACATCAGTGAGCAGTGATACTACACATGTGCTACAATGAGAAGCAATCTATTGATTACTACTTGCTGACTGAAAACTAATGTACTTATGCTTCTGAAGTAATACTAGTTTATATGGTGAGTAGAGTGGATGGGGATCCACTTGACCATTTGTGACAAGAAGGTATGATTATATATCTCCTCGCAGCATCGCCAGCAACACTGTGTCATGGGCCTGGATGCTCAAGAAGCAGGAGGGTCACTGGTTCATATGGAAGGAGCACAGATATCGAGGATCTAGTCAATATCAGGAGAGAGCATGGTCATAGTGCAGTCTCCATGGAGACCATGGACTCCTACGGACTCACATGCAAAGGAGGACCGAGCCATATGCGAGGAGGACCAGGCACAGCCACGAAGAGGACCAAGCTCAGATGGTTACCACTCAGGGGCTCGAGAGACAAGTGTCGAAGGAGTCGACACCAGGTCATGAGGAGGAGGAGCAGTGTCGAAGGAGTCAACACCACTTAGGAGGCACAGGGGTGCCAAACAAGCAGCAGGATAGCAAGGAGGAGGAGCAGTGTTGAAGGAGTCGACACAGCTCAAGAGGCACAGGGGTGCCAAGCAGGAGAGGCCCCTGAGCAGTACTCGATGAAGAAGGTACTCTCTGGAGAGAGAGCAGGAGCAGCATCGCTGGCGATGCTGTGAAGAGGTATATAACCATGCTTTCTCATCATCATAGGTCGAGTGGATCCTCATCCACTCTACTCACCATACAACTAGTCAATACTTTAGAAACACAAGTACTCATTAGTTACAGTCAGCATAGCAGCAATCTATCAAGGTTGCTCCTCATCATAGTGTGTGTGTTGTATCACCACTACCTGATGTCCGTAGGTGCCCCATAGCAGGTTAGTGGTCCAGATATAGATAGAACTGAAGGCAGTAGTCCACTGCAGTCTGGGGATCACTTCAAGCATCAAAGTCAACACACTGGACACTCGTGTTGATGCCACCAACCTTATCACCAACACCATCAACCTCATTATCATCAACACTCACCAACCTTATCACCAATGTCATCAACCTCATCATCATCAACACTCACACCAGACCTTGGTGTCATCATAACCGAAGCATTGATATTGATTGTGCTGAGCTACCCCTGAATGGAGTGTCCACAGAGGTCAGCTGAAACCTACAATAGTATATACAATGAATGCCACCTGCTGTCACTGCACAACTTGATAGTCACCGATACCGAGACAATAGCTGTCACACAGTTTGATAGTCACCGAGTATCTCGACAGACCGACCTGGGTTTCAGGCGCGAGACCCCTGACACACTGCTATTGCGATGATATGTAACCGAGTAAGTAAAGTATAAAGTAAGTAAGTCAAGTCAGAGTGGATGCTGATCCACTTGTATGCTTGTGGTAGAATGAGAGTATTTATGTGTCCAGTTGGTGTTTTCCCTCAACACCTATCCTGCTCCTCTTGAGGGGCCTTTGTCCCCTGTTAGGCACTGTCTTGTCCTGCTGGCACCAATCCCTTTGATACTGCACTCCTACTGTTTGCATGGCATATGGGTTATGCAACACTGCCCTCTCGCCTTCATGCTCTCCTTCTGCCTGATGTGTGATGCCCCCTTTCAACACAGCTCCCTCTTGACTTTATCTTGTGAAACCTCTTTAGTCACTTGTTGAACCTTGTGACCATACCCCTTGGTCATGTGGTCACATCAGCACAGTTCTGTCTCGACTTGTCTTGTGAAACCCCTTTAGTCACTTGTTGAACCTTGTGACCCAACCCCTTGGTCATGTGGTCACGTCGGCACGACTCTGAGTACTTGTTCATATTGGCCGACTAGTTGAGGCATGCTGATCCAACTGACCCTGACTGATCCCATGAGATTGACCTGGATTCCCAGGGTTCGATCGATCTCATAATTCTTATGCACTGCCAACCCAATTAATCTCATTGTTCCCCTATGGTTTTTGACTCTGATCAATCTGGTGCACCCTTCATATGTTGATCTTCTGTGCACCCTTCATATACTGCTCCATTATGCGACATTACCATAACTGCCACTGATCATTTTGGCGCACTCTCTTGCGCTGGCCAGCCGACCCTATGACAGCAAGCAGGATAGCTCAAGGAGGACAGGAGTGGTGCTAGAGGGGCCCCCTGTACAGTACTCGATGAAGAAGGTACTCTCTGGAGAGAGAGCAGGAGCAGCATCGCTGGCGATGCTGTGAAGAGGTATATAACCATACTTTCTCATCATCAAAGGTCGAGTGGATCCTCATCCACTCTACACACCATAACTAGTTATCACTTCAGCATAAGTATATATTAGTTCCAGTCAGCATAGAGTTGAAGTAGATAAAAGCTACACAAAGCGTAGAGACGGTGAAGGTAGTGCTTACAGCTGAGTAAAAGGCTTGAGCATCTGAGCACAGACCACATGTGTCACAACCTACTCAAGACAAATGCTTTGTTATGCTCTGCAGTCAATGCAGCTCCCCGCCACTCTTCTTTTGTATATATAGACTCCTTCTCTCTCCTCGCTCTCTCTCTCTCCCTATCATCATCATCAATCATACGAAAACTACAACTGGCTCCCAACGTGGGGCTCGAACCCACGACATTCATCATGACATTGACCCATCAAGAGTCCAGCAGCAAGTACAATGCCCCCATCAACACGAGCAGGACAGATGGGAAGGGAGGAGAGAGATGATGATCAAGCGGCCACCACCATGGGCAATGGTTGTGAGGAGGGTTGGCTCACACAGGTAGTAAGGATCTTACAGTTGGCAAACCTGGCATTGACAGTGGAGGAAGCAATTGTACAAGCAATGAGCCTCATCAGCATTAGCAGTCAAGCTCCAAAAGGGGAGGCAGAGAAGATTCCCAAGGACATTTTGAGTGCCATTGCACACATCAAGAAGCTCAGTGATAACAACTGGCATACCTGGGAGCCTACCTTTATCAACTGTCTGCAACAGGTACACAATGCGAAGGAAATCTTATACAGCAAAATAGCACCTGGAAGCAAGGGATACAATGAGGACCTGGACAAGGCACTGGTAGGCCTCATCCACACTTGCTGTGATCACAGTCTGGAAAGCTGCATTGACACATACACTGTCAGGGGTGTGGATGAGGAGGTCCAACTTGGAAGTACACTTTACACTAAGCTTAGGAAGGCACTAACATTGAACAACACGGTGAAGCGAGCGGGCCTGCAGGACTGCATCCACACCATACGACTGTACAATCAGGATGTTGTCAGACTAGGCAAGGAACTTGACTCCATTTGGAATGATGCAGCACACCTAGGGAAATGTTTTGACAAAGATCTCAAGAAGTCCACCCTTTACCGCTGTACAGCTCAGGATTGGTTCTATGCTAACTCTGTTGATGCACTCAAGATGGCCAAACCAGACTGTAAGTATGACGAAGCTTACCATGCACTCACAAAGAAACAGCAAGACAGCAAGCTATTGGGTCGCATCAGAGGAGCAGCCAGGGTTGCTACAAGCATGGAGCAAGGGGCCACTGGTCAGGTGGAGCAGAGGCCCAGGGGGAGGCATGATCCACGCAACCCCTCAGCCCCTCCAAGATGCTACACCTGTGGAGGACCCAATCACATTGCTTGAAATTGCACAAACAATCCCACATCAACCACGAGTGAACCTGCTACTCGTGCGACACAAGAACCGAGTCACTAGGAACTTGGGTGCATCTTCCTAGTGATTGATGGGGAAGAACGATCAGCATGCAACACCTGGATTGTCGATTCAGGTGCAACCCATCATATGGTAAATGATGAGAGGATGCTGCTCACCTTGACGAGCAAGGATGGTCAGATCAGTACAGCAGGGGATGAAAAGCTTCAGGTAAAAGCTATAGGAGATGCCTCCCTTCAGGTCGGTGAGGCTACCATCCAGCTACTGGATGTGCTCTATGTGCCGAAGCTCAATTCTAATTTATTGTCTGTACAAGGCTTGATCGAGAATGGTGCATGAGTAACCTTTGATGAGTTCAGGACTACCATAAAGCAGAATGATGGTACCCAAGTGCAATTCAGGAGGAACAGGAGACAAGGCCACTTCGAAGTGCAAGGACAAGCACTAGCCTTGGAGCTGGAGAAGACTCTCAGCAATGTCCCAGAGGACGATGAGAACACAGGAAGACACAATGACATCCCAGAGGATGGTAAGAACACAGGAAACCGAGACAACAACTTGAAGGAAGACAAAGATAGCTACCTCTGGCATGAGAGGTTCGGACACCCAGGACAAGATAAGACAAGGCAAATCTGGGCGCACTACCTTGGCACTGATGAGAGAATGGAGCATGAATCAAAGCACTGCAATGCATGCAGTCAAGGGAAACAGAACCAAGTGCAGATGAGCCAATCAGAGTCAAAGAGAGTGGAGGCGCCACTAGAGTTAGTACATGTAGACTTGATGACAGATCTTAAGGGCCATGCCAACTACCACTATGCACTAGTTGCTGTGGACAACTTCTCCTCCCTGATCTACATGGAACCACTCTGCACTAAGAGTGCTGCACTCCCAGTGCTAAGAAGGTGGATCACCAGGATGGAACGAGCAACAGACAGGAAACTCAAAATGCTCCGCAGCAACAATGGAGGAGAGTGGTGCAGCTTAGGAGCAGAAGACTGGCAAACTCAAGAGGGCTTCAAGTGGCAAAAGAGTGTCCCAGGGATCAGTGTCCAGAATGGATGGGCAGAGAGAGTGATCAGATTGGTCCAAGAAAAGATGCACTCAATACTCATTGGTTGAGCTTGCCCCAGAGAGTTGTGGCCATATGCAATCATGGCAGCAGCACACATGATGAACCTCACCCCATCAGCCACCAAGACCATCCCCCACAAGGTCTTTTATGGAACCACCGCACACAAGCTGGCCCAGCAGCTGCAAGTCTTCGGATGCTTGGCATGGGTCCATGTTCAATGAAAGGACCAGCAGGGCAAGTATGGGGCTAGAGCAAAGCCAGCCATCATGATTGGATATGACGACAAGCACAAAGCATGGAAGTTTTGCAACCCGGACCAGCCTGCATCAATTCAATGGAGCAACTCAGCAATGTTCCATGAGGACAAAGGATGGAGTGATCACCAACAGGAGGCAGTCCGGCCCATGGTGACCATGGAGGTCGAGGAGGAGGGTGTCACGCCAGCCATAGTGGAGGAGGAAACCAGATCAGAAGCTGCAGTGGAGGATCTCCTACCAGCTGTAGACAGCACAGTAGGTGCCACCAACACAGCAGTACTGAACCTGGACCCAACGCTTGGGGAAGCAATGAATGGTGAGGACACCCAGCTCTGGAAGGAGGCAATACGAAAAGAGCTAGAAGGACTCGAGGCAATGGGGACTTGGGAGGTGGTGAATCACCCGCCAGGAGTACCATGTCATGGGCCTGGATGCTCAAGAAGCAGGAGGGTCATGGGTTCATATAGAAGGAGCACAGGTATCGAAGATCTAGTCGATACCAGTAGAGAGCATGGTCGTAGTGCAGTCTCCATGGAGACCATGGACTCCTATGGACTCACATGCAAAGGAGGGCCAAGCACAGCCACGAGGAGGACCAAGCTCAAGGAGCAGGCACAGCCACAAGGAGGACCAAGCTCAAGGAGCATGCAGATGGTTACCACTCAGGGGCTCGAGAGACAAGAGCCAAAGGAACTGTCACTCATCAAAGGAGGAGGAGCAGTGTCGAAGGAGTCGACACCAGGTCATGAGGAGGAGGAGCAGTGTCGAAGGAGTCGACACCAGGTCATGAGGAGGAGGAGCAGTGTTGAAGGGTTGACATCAGGTCATGAGGAGGAGGAGCAGTGCCGAAGGAGTCGACACAGCTCAAGAGGCACAGGGGTGCCAAGCAGGAGAGGCCCCTGAGCAGTACTCGATGAAGAAGGTACTCTCTGGAGAGAGAGCAGGAGCAGCATCGCTGGCGATGCTGAGAAGAGGTATATAACCATGCTTTCTCATCATCAATAGGTCGAGTGGATCCTCATCCACTCTACTCACCATAACTAGTTATCACTTCAGCATAAGTATATATTAGTTTCAGTCAGCATAGCAGCAATCCATCAAAGGTTGCTCCTCATCGTAGTGTGTGTGTTGTATCACCACTACCTGATGTCCGAAGGCGCCCATAGCAGGTTAGCAGTCCGGATCAAGATAGAACCGAAGGCAGTAGTCCACTGCAGTCCGGGGATCACTTCAAGCATCAAGTCAACACACTGGACACTCATGTTGACGCCACCAATCTTATCACCAACACCATCAACCTCATTATCATCGACATCACCAATCTCATCACCCACACCATCAACCCCATCATCATCAACACTCACACCAGACCTTGGTGTCATCATAACATTGCTATTGATCGTGCCAAGCTACCCCTGAACAGAGTGTCCACAGAGGTCAGCCAAAACCTGCGATAGTATATACAACGAATGCCACCTGCTGTCACTGCACAACTTGATAGTCACCGATACCGAGACAATAGCTGTCGCACAGTTTGATAGTCACCGAGTATCTCGACAGACCGACCTGGGTTTCAGGCGCGAGACCCCTGACATATACCTAGATGACTTCCTGATCTTCAGTGACACTGAAGAGTCACATGTGAAGCATGTTACTGAGGTCCTCACTCACTTAAGAAGCAACAGGCTCTTTGCTAAGCTGTCGAAGTGTGAGTTTCACACCAAGATAGTCAAGTTCCTGGGATACATCATCAAGCCGATGGGTATAGAGATGGACCCAGAAAAGGTGCGCACTGTCAAGGAGTGGCCAATGCCAGAGTCAATCCATGACATCCAACAGTTCCTGGGTTTTGCCAACTTCTATCGAAGGTTCATAGCCCACTTTGCTCGCATAGCCAAGCCATTGACATCACTGGTAAAGCCTGAACGGTTCAAGAAGTTTGAGCTACCAGAGGAGGCCCAGCAGGCCTTCCACAAGCTCATCCAGGCATTCACATCAGCAGGAGTGCTCCAGCACTTTGACTACCACCTTCCAACAAGGTTGGAAACTGATGCAAGTGACTTTGCTATAGCAGGAGTACTCAAGCAGGAGCATGAAGGACAATGGCACCCAGTGGCCTTCTACTCTAGGAAGATGTCTTCTGCCAAGAAGAACTATGAGATCCATGACAAGGAGCTCCTAGCTGTGGTCGCTTGCCTTACTCAGTGGTGACACATGCTAGCTGGACTGCTGAGTCAACTGGTCATCCTCACTGACCATGAAGCCCTCAAGTACTTCAAGTCACAGAGATGCATCACAGGTTGACAGGCTCGATGGGCAATACTACTAGCAGACTTCGACTTCATATTGCAGTATCGACCAGGAGACAAAGGTGGTGAACCCGATGCTCTCACCAGAAGGACAGACATGCAGCCAGCTGGTGAAGAGCAGGATCACAATGTGAGGCAACTACTGCCTCCTTGGGTGTTCAAGGAGACAGCAGACCATGACTCGCTCCTAGTGGCCCCCATGATCTCGATGGAGTCCATAGCATCAAAGGGTCTCAGAGACCTGGTCAAGATCTTCTAGCCCTTAGACCAAGAGCTACAGGAGATACATATGAAGAAGCCTTTTGAGGTCAAGGATGACCTATGGTACAGTGGAGGTAGGTTGGTTATCCCCAAGGTAATCATGCCAGGGAGGACCAACAACTGACACTCAAGGAGTGCCAAAGAGGTAGATGGACAGTCTCTCTCTGTAGAGCATTTGCAATTCATGGTGATGACCCAATGCCATGATGGCATCACTGCTGGACACATGGGAAGAGATGCTACCATCAAGGCAGCCCAACAACATTACTGGTGGCCAAACATGACAGCTTGGATTGCAGACTATGTAGCAAGTTGTCCTGTATGTGCTAGGTACAAAGCTCCTTGTCATCGTCCATATGGTTTGCTACAGCCACTAGCCACACCAGACAGGCCCTGGGGCTCCATATCCCTCGACTTCATCAAAGGACTACCACCATCGAAGAAGTATGACTCCAAGACCTATGACTCTATCTTAGTCATTGTCGACAGGTTAACCAAGTTTGCCATACTAGCTCCAACCCATAAGACAGTCACAGCCAAACAGACTGCAGTGTTGCTATATGGACACATGGTTAGACTCTTTGGCTACCCAGATCACATGGTCTGGGACCGAGGCAGGCAGTTCATATCAGGAGCATGGAAGGCATTCGCAGAACAAATGGGTGTGAAGCACTCACTTAGCATGGCTTACCATCCTCAAACTGATGGTCAGACAGAGAGGGTCAATCAGGTCATAGAGCAGTACCTAAGGATGTACTGCAACTATGAGCAGAATGACTGGGCCAACCTGCTGGACACTGCAGCCTTTGTATACAACAACATGGTCCACAACAGCATTGGTGTCTCACCATTCTTTGCATGCTATGGATGGAACCCCAAAGCTCATCCTGATATCCCTCAATGACTAGGAGTCAATGACCCAGGTTGCTTTGAGTACCTCATGGATGGAAAGGAACATTGCAAGTACCTCCAGGAGCAGATCAGAGAGGCACAACATAGATCAGTAGACCAGTATAACAGGAAGCACAAGGACATCGAGTTTAAGGTGGGTGATATGGTCTATATCAACCGTTGAAACTGGAAGACAAGGAGACCCACACCCAAGTTAGATACCCAGTTTGCAGGACCCTACCCAGTTCAGGAATGGGTAGGACGCCAAGCTTATCAAATCACATTGCCAGCAAACCTTAGGGTGCATGATGTGTTCCATGTCTCCATGCTCAAGCCAGCAAGAACAAGTTCTCTTCCTCAACGTGCTGAACAGCCCACCATACCATCACTTCCAGATGAGGACCTCGACTTCGAAGTCGAAGCACTCATCGACAAGCGTTCACACAATGGGACTACAGAGTACAAGGTGTTGTGGAGAGGGTACTCAGAAGAAGCTGCTTCATGGGAACCAGTAGAGAACCTCAACTGTCCTGACCTCATCCAGGAGTATGAGGTGTCGGAGGGGGGACGAGTGAGTAGACAAAGTAGGGAAAGGAGGAGAGAACAGGAGGAGTAGAGAGAGGAAGAGAGAACAGGAGGAGTAGAGAGAGGAAGAGGAAGGAGGATGACGTTGAGAGAAGGAGGAAGGATGATGTTGGCGATGTTGTTGAGGAGGAGGAGGAGGAGTCAGCATGAACCAGACCAGAGCATGCCTCGACGGAGCTCGGCTCTTAAGAGGGGGGTAGTGTCATGGGCCTGGATGCTCTAGAAGCAGGAGGGTCATGGGTTCATATAGAAGGAGCACAGGTATTGAAGATCTAGCCGATACCAGTAGAGAGCATGGTCGTAGTGCAGTCTCCATGGAGACCATGGACTCCTACGGACTCACATGCAAAGGAGGGCCAAGCACAGCCACGAGGAGGACCAAGCTCAAGGAGCAGGCACAGCCACGAGGAGGACCAAGCTCAAGGAGCATGCAGATGGTTACCACTCAGGGGCTCGAGAGACAAGAGCCAAAGGAACTGTCACTGATCAAAGGAGAAGGAGCAGTGTCGAAGGAGTCGACACCAGGTCATGAGGAGGATGAGCAGTGTCGAAGGAGTCGACACAGCTCAAGAGGCACAGGGGTGCCAAGCAGGAGAGGCCCCTGAACAGCACTCGATGAAGAAGGTACTCTCTGGAGAGAGAGCAGGAGCAGCAACGCTGGCGATGCTGTGAAGAGGTATATAACCATGCTTTCTCATCATCATAGGTCGAGTGGATCCTCATCCACTCTACTCACCATACAACTAGTCAATACTTTAGAAACACAAGTACTCATTAGTTACAGTCAGCATAGCAGCAATCTATCAAGGTTGCTCCTCATTGTAGTGCATGTGTTGTATCACCACTACCTGATGTCCAAAGGCAACCCATAGCAGGTCAGCAGTCCGGATTAAGATAGAACTGAAGGCAGTAGTCCACTGCGGTCTGGGGATCACTTCAAGCATCAAGTCAACACACTGGACACTCGTGTTGATGCCACCAACATTATCACCAACACCATCAACCTCATTATCATCAACACTCACCAACCTTATCACCAATGTCATCAACCTCATCATCATCAACACTCACACCAGACCTTGGTGTCATCATAACCAAAGCATTGATATTGATTGTGCCAAGCTACCCCTGAACAGAGTGTCCACAGAGGTCAGCCGAAACCTACAATAGTATATACAACAAACGCCACCTGCTGTCACTGCGCAACTTGATAGTCACTGTTACCGAGACAATAGCTGTCGCACAGTTTGATAGTCACCGAGTATCTCGACAGACCGACCTGGGTTTCAGGCGCGAGACCCCTGACACTATCCTGCTGCTTGTTTGGCACCCCTGTGCCCCCTGAGTGGTGTCGACTCCTTCGACACTGCTCCTCCTCCTCATGACCTGCTTGCCAGTGTCCTATACACTGCTCCTTCTCCTTTGACTGGTGACAGTTCCTTTGACTCTTGTCTCTCGAGCCCCTGAGTGGTAACCATCTGCATGCTCCTTGAGCTTGGTCCCCTTCGTGGCTGTGCCTGCTCCTTGAGCTTGGTCCTCCTCGTGGCTGTGCCTGGCCTTCCTTGCATATGGCTCAGTGCTCCTTTGCATGTGAGTCCATAGGAGTCCATGGTCTCCATGGAGACTGCACTACGACCATGCTCTCTACTGGTATCAACTAGCTCTTCGATACCTGTGCTCCTTCCATATGAACCAGTGACCCTCCTGCTTCTTGAGCATCCAGGCCCATGACAAGAGGCCAGCCAAGTCGAAGATGTCCAGAGGGAGGAGACGAGTTGAGGTGCCAGAAGGATAGACATCAGTGTGGAGACAAGGCACGGCATTCCAGTCACTGCCAACAATTGCAGCAGCATTTGAGGAGGTGATGGTGTTGAGTTGCAAGAATCTGGCAATGTCCTCGCACCAGAAGGATTCAAACTCGCTGAGTGTCGGGGGGGCATGGATGCTCCAGATGTGCAGAAGGTGAATGTCATCACCTACAGCTGGGCTTGAGTCTGGGATGCACATGCGAGCATGAGTGGAGCGTTGCATGTGGACTACATCTTCAATGGCCCAGTCAGTATGGCAAATGATAATGCCAGTATCAGATGATAACATGCTGAGGTGTGGTTGAGGTTGAAAGGTGGCATGTGGGTGGAGAAGAGGATTGTGAATGTTGTGCATCATGTCATGAAGGATTCTTGTTTCTTGGAGAAGGATGATGTCAGCTTTGCCAGGAAGGGTGGTCTTGTCATGGAGGAAGTGGCAGTGGTCCAGTGGCGAGAGTGTCGTGCAATTCCAGGAGACAATGCTTAAGAGCCCGGCCATGCTGTAAAGTGGGCAGCTAGGGGCTGGGTGATGGGTGTTTCGAAGGGTGCAGGGTCATTGGGGTGTCATCGCTCACAGAGGCCTCTTTCTGAGGGCATCTGTCAGCTGTATGACCCCATTCTTTGCAGTGAAAGCATTCCAGTGTCATGGGCCTGGATGCTCAAGAAGCAGGGGGGTCACAGGTTCATATGGAAGGAGCACAGGTATCGAAGATCTAGTCGAGACCAGTAGAGAGCATGGTTGTAGTGCAGTCTCCATGGAGACCATGGACTCCTACGGACTCACATGCAAAGGAGGACCAAGCTCAAGGAGCAGGCACAGCCACGAAGAGGACCAAGGTCAAGGAGCATGCAGATGGTTACCACTCAGGGGCTCGAGAGACAAGAGCCAAAGGAACTGTCACTGATCAAAGGAGGAGGAGCAGTGTCGAAGGAGTCGACACCAGGTCATGAGGAGGAGGAGCAGTGTCGAAGGAGTTGGCATCAGGTCATGAGGAGGAGGAGCAGTGTCGAAGGAGTTGACACAGCTCAAGAGGCACAGGGGTGCCAAGCAGGAGAGGCCCCTGAGCAGTACTCGATGAAGAAGGTACTCTCTGGAGAGAGAGAGCAGGAGCAGCATCGCTGGCGATGCTGAGTAGAGGTATATAACCATGCTTTCTCATCATCATAGGTCGAGTGGATCCTCATCCACTCTACTCACCATACAACTAGTCAATACTTTAGAAACACAAGTACTCATTAGTTACAGTCAGCATAGCAGCAATCTATCAAGGTTGCTCCTCATCATAGTGTGTGTGTTGTATCACCACTACCTGACATCCATAGGCACCCATAGCAGGTTAGCAGTCCAGATATAGATAGAACCGAAGGCAGTAGTCCACTGCAGTCCAGGGATCACTTCAAGCATCAAGTCAACACACTGGACACTCGTGTTGACGCCACCAACCTTATCACCAACACCATCAACCTCATTATCATCAACATCACCAATCTCAACACCAACACCATCAACCTCATCATCATCAACACTCACACCAGACCTTGGTGTCATCATAACATTGATATTGATCATGCCAAGCTACCCCTGAATGGAGTGTCCACAGAGGTCAGCCAAAACCTACAATAGTATATACAACAAACACCACCTGCTGTCACTGCGCAACTTGATAGTCACCAAGACCAAGACAATAGCTGTCACACAGTTTGATAGTCACTAAGTATCCCAACAGACCGACCTGGGTTTCAGGCGCGAGACCCCTGACAGCAGGCATCCCAGCCAAAGAGGGTGATAGCTCAACAACAGCATGGGCAATACTTGCCCAAAAAAGGTTGAGGGAATGCCCTCATCATCGGCAGTCATATGGCAGGCTCCTTGACATCATCAGCAAAAAATTGGCTCATCACCACCAAGAAAATATTTTCACAACGACGCCTGTGAGATTCGAACTCACGCCCTCAGAGAGGATATCCTTCCCCCAGCGCTTGCTGGTTGCTATTTTGAACGAAGTAGCAGGGATACGTGTTAACCACTCCACCAAAGCGTCTGTTGTGTGTACGTTATAAAAGTGCTAGCATATAGCTTTGGAAGGTTCTTGCTATGATCTCATAGGTCCAAAAAACAAAAAGTCAAGTCCGAGATAGAAGCTGTAGAAGATCATTAAATTGTTGAAGATTACGATCCAGTGACGACGCTAAGAGGTGACGCCAAGACGACGAGATCGGGGATCGGGGATAACCGGTCCTGTTAAGGATCGGGGATAACCGGTCCTGTTAAGGATCGGGAATAACCGGTCCTGTTAAGGATCGGGTACGCCCAAGTCCCGCTCGTTGTCAGGCTAGATCATTAAGTAGGAGTACTCCCACCTTCAGCATGTGCCGCTCAAATGTATATATATCTCACAGAGAGCACTTGGCTCTCGCCACATTCCTTCAGGTCAATTGAGTATATGTTTCTGCTGTAACAAAGTAGTGACATCGTACTTAGACCATCCCCGATCACCAGTATCGGGACCCGAAACGACTTCAGTTTCCAACAGAAATAAGCCTAGACGCCCTCTTACAAGCACAAGCAACAAGCAACAAGCAACAAGCCATTCGTTCTCGCAGTGAAATATCGCTCGCTGTACGATGAGTCCGCTGCTATGATAGCAAGAGGAGATGTTGTGTGCGGTGGTGGCATTAGCGCTGGTGTTGCTCGGAATAGCCACATGTCAATAAAGTGTGTGGAGGTGGAGGTATGCTTACTGAACTCAACCCCTTTTTTCTTGACACGCAAACGCTCATCACTGCACACCTAACTCACTCTTCACCATCATCAACCACGTCAAGACCATTTCCTCGCCACCCCTTTCCAATCGAGCCTCGAGCGCTCTTTGCTCTCGCATGCATTCACCCTAATCGTTGCTGGTGCTCTAGCGCCATACACAACACATCAAACAATCAAATTTGTGCTAGCATCGCCTTGGCACTCTTTGGCCAGCATGGCTTCTCAACTCCACCTCCACTTCTACACCTACACCCACGCCGTCGCTTCAGCTGCAGCCACCACCATTCTCACCTCCAGCTTCCCTTTCGACAATAACGCCCCTGGCAATCCAGGTAACGGTGGTGGAGGCGGCAACAACAACAACAACAACAACGGATCAGACGATAACCCCTCCATCCCACTCCCCAATCAACGAGCATTCGAAGGCCCATGGTTCTCCCAACAACTCAGCTTGTCCATCTTTATCGGACTCCTATCCTTTTCCATCTTCATTTTCGTCCGTCGTCGTAATGCCGCCCTCTTCGCACCACGTACAAAACTCAAAGGGTTCTCTCCACTTGACGACGCTCATGATGCCGGATATTTCGCATGGATTATGCCAACGCTCAAGACGGAAGAAATGCGGATCCTCCAAACGGTAGGGCTGGACGCTGCGATCTTGCTCAGCTTCTTGAAGATGGGCTTTTGGCTATTCTTCGGTTTAAGCTGTTGGAGCGTGGTTGTGTTGATGCCGGTGAATTATTGGCAGAACGGTGTGCTGGATGGAGTCAGTCCTGCGGAGGATAGGGATAATGCTACCGCCCCCAACAATAGGATAGATACAGTAACGGGTGTATGGACACAGTTGATCTTCGACACGCTCAAAGAAAAGCACGATGATCCACAGCAGCCACTACCGCAGTTACCGTTACCGGCAAAACCACCGCAAGCACAACTGTATCATGCCGTCCATCTGCTGTCGACGTATCTGTTTACGTTGTTGGCGATGAGGGCGATTTGGATCAATTATCAGCGATTTGTCCGGTCGAGACAGTTATACATCCTAGAGATTCTGGAATCCATCCCAGCAAGAACGGTCGAGATTAGGGACTTACCGACGCATCTCAGGGACGATAAAGCGCTAGCGGAGTACTTTGAGAACATGGATATGCCTGTAGAATCCACAGCGGTGGTGAGGAATACGGAAGGGTTATCGAGATTGTTGAATCAAAGATCGGATGCGTTGCATAGATTGGAAAAGACGTGGGTGAAGTGGCTGGCGAATCCAACGGATGCGGAAGGGTATGATCCGGAAAAGATTATGTTGTTGGCTGCCGGCGCTCATCGTGATGATCTGCCGTCTAGCGACGTTACCGATGATTTGGTGCGGATCAGTGTCGATGATCAGCGACCTTCGGGTGATGACCTCGAAAGCAGCCGTCTTCTCCCCTCCTCCAATACAACTGCCACAGTCTTCACCGGCGCAGACACCATCCACACGCACCGACCTCGCCCTACCATGCGCAAAACATGGTGGAACCCTCTCAGCGAAAGAATCGACGCAATTGACGAACTCACCCGTCAATTCAACGCTATCGATCGTGCCGTCCGGCGTCGACGCAAAACCGGTCGTTTCCCAGGCGGAAATGTCGGTTTCGTCACATTCTCCTCCGCCGCTTCGGCTCAAATCGCATCCCAAACAGTCCACTACCCCATCCCAGCATACTGCGCTACCAGCATGGCTCAAGAACCACGCGATATCATCTGGTCCAATATCAACCTTTCCAACAACGATCGCAGAGTTCGTCAGGTGTTAGTATCCATCTTTATCGTAGCAGTGTTGGTGTTCTATATTCCGCCACTGGTGTTTCTGGCGAGCTTTGTCTCGCCGGGTGCGATAGCAAAGTATGCTCCATGGTTAGATAGGTTGTTGGATACAGATGAAAGGCTGAGAGCGTTGGTTCAGAATAATTTGCCCTCGTTGGTGGTTATTGGTTTCAACGCACTTTTGCCGTTGGTGTTGGAATATAGTAGTTATTTGCAGGGCTTGAAGGCGAGGAGTTTGGTCGAGTACAGTGTGTTGAAGAAGTATTATCTGTTTTTGATGGTTTCGGTGGTGTTCATCTTCTTGATTGCAACGACGGCATGGGGTGTCTTGCAAGAGTTGGCGGAAAATCCAATGCGGGTGATTGACAAATTCGCTGCTTCCCTTCCCAAAGCAAGGTTCTTTTCGCTCTCATACGTCATCCTTCAGGGTATTGCGCTGCAGCCGTTACAGCTTCTCCAGCTGCCCACTTTGATCCTTCGCGGATTTTACCGATTGTTCTTAACCAGAACTCCGAGAGAATTCGCAGAACTCAACGCACCCCCAACCCTAGCTATGGGAAACGTCTATCCTCAAGCCCTACTCATCTTTACCCTTTGCATCCTCTACTCTATCGTCTCTCCTCTCATCGTCATTTTCGGTGCGATCTACTTCGGTATAGCGTACATTGTTAACAAGTATAAACTTCTCTACGTTTTCTACAAGCCTTACGAATCGCAGGGTCAAGCATGGCCTATTTCGGCATCAAGATGCATATGGGCACTCATTCTGTTCCACATTTTCCAATTTTCGCTGTTTAGCGTAAGGAAACAGTTACTGATGAGCACACTGATGCTGCCGTTGGTGATGTTTACGTTTTGGTTTAGTCAGCATTTGGAAAGTACGTTTGGGGGGTTGACAGAGCATGTTAACCTGAGTAGTGTGGTGGAGGTACTGAAGGAAAGGGAAGCAGATCCGGCGTTGGAAGGGTTAGCTCAGAATGGGCCACCGGCTGCGGCGACTAGTGGTGTTGCGAACCCCAGCGGCGGAGCAGGGGGTTCTGGGAGTGTAACGCCGAGTAGAAGCAAGCAGCTGTTATCGTTGGATCCGAGTCATAAGATCGATCCAGAGTTTACCAAACTCGCAATAAAGCGTTACTCCCACGACGAGGAGGATGAGACGCTGTTTGTCGCTCAAAGGGATACCAAAACTGACTACAGGGAGCCTCCAGGAGCGGGATACTACCCCGGAGTGCTGAATACGGGTAGAAGGAGATATGGGCATCCAGCGATTACAGGGATTTTGCCCGAACTGTGGTTGCCGATCTCGAAACACAGGTTGGAGGAGGGAGGAGAAGATGTCACCGCCCCTGATGATTTGGAGTCTAGAGCGACGGGAATGGCTTCTGCTACCACCTCCGCCCTTGGTGGCCCCCGCAGTTCGAGAAACGAAGAAGTGGGAGGAGACGCAGCCCAAACAGCAGCTAGAATTAGGGCCAGGGCTTTAAGTAAAGCCGAACCACTCATTCTTTCTCTTCGTAAGCGGAAGAGTAGCCTCATGTCTTCTCGACCCAGCTCTGCTGCTTCGCCCACACGTAGGGCTGGAGGACTACCACCCACTTTGGATGATGGAACTAGTGTAGATCGCTCTCAGGACTATCTGGACGAAGGAGATGCGGAAGGTTTCGGTGTATGGTCAGACGGTGTGTCGGGACCTCAAGGTAGCAGTTCTTCTGCTGCTGTAGGTGAAGCTCTGAGTGGAGGTTATGCGGTTGCTCCCGCACGAACACTGATTAAGCAGCAACAGGAGCAGGCTAGGCAGGGAGAAGATGGGGAATATGAGGGTGGTGGCGTGGATGAGGATGCAGAGGAAGGAGTGTACATTCATAGGTCGAATACGGCGAGAAGTAAGGGGGGGTGGGGGGTGGAAGGATGAAGTCGAGAAGGAGCGGTGTTCCTGGTGTTGGCAGTAGTGCAAGTGGGACTGGACCCGCCTACCACGACTGAGATCACAACTTTGCGCTCGACACAAATGAACAGTTTTGATGTTTATGGTCTCGGATAATTTACGAACCTATTCAAGAAGATGGAGTGTGTGTGCCAGCTGATGGCATTTTCACAGAGATTCAAATAAGACACACCAAATGTGTCTGCCCCGCGCTTAACCCCCAGAGGGGGCAGGACCCCATGCCCAGGGCCCCATGATAATGATATGCAATGCTACATAGAAGATAAAGGAGTCCTACAGATAGCCTTGATAAGCATATTGAAAGTGCTGTTGTGGTCCCAATCTGCTGAGTAGACACAGGTTGGGCATCAGAATTGTTTACTTGCACCTAGTCTTTGGTTGAGATTGCCACACTGAGAGCAGGTCTTTGATGTATATGCTCCTGGTTGTAAAAGCACTGTTGGCCACCCATGTTTATGCAGATAGCACAGATTGTGAGCAACATCATGGCATTTGACCAGCAAATGGTTGATGAAGTTGCAGTGTCCCCAACCCAGCAGCCTCCAACAGGTGTTTTGGTTCAAGTTCCCATTCTTCCTTTGTATCATCTTGTGAACCTCCATCCTTGGCATGATCACAATGTCAGATGAGGTTGCTAGATAGTTTGCCATCCAGCAATGTAGATCATCGATAAGCTGCTGCAGCTTTTTGCGGACCTTCTTTGAGCGCTTTGTCATAGGGTCTGCGCAGAAGACCCGAAATAGTTGAAGATGCGACAGAATTACCAGGAGCTTAGCCGAGATGCGAGAAGGCCGAGTCACCGAGAGGCCAAGGGATGTGCATGCATGATTGATGCATGGTGACCAATTAGGAGATGCTTGTGGGAGACAATGCCAAGACATGAAGGAGACAACACCAAGACATGAAGGAGACAACACCAAGACAACATGTGGTGCACACAGTCAGTAAGGCAGTGATAGGATATCTCATGGACACTTGACACTGTCTATAAACAGGCATCTTCATAGCCATAGTTCACAAGGAATCTCAAGCATTGCATCTACTATACACCTGTGCAAAAGGAGCTAGAACGTAGCCTGGATGAAGTGGTGTATTGCATAACTTCAACTGATTAAGAGTCTGAAGCTCTAAACCCTCCCCCTCACAATCACTACAGCCAACCATGGTGGATGAAACCAAACCTCAAGCCAGCACCAGTGAAACTGCCAAGAGATCCAAGAGAGTAAAGAAGGTGACAGTCATCTGACAGACACAGCCTGAAAACATAGCCAAAGATGACAATGAAATTGAGGATGAACTAGAATACAAATCTGACAACAACAATTTCGGCAAGCAATACAGCCTCTGTACCCAGGCTAAACTACCTGAGCCGGTGCCGAAGCTCACGTCCCAGAACTATTACAGTGTCAGCGGTCTCGCACCAGAAACCTGATATCTGTAATAGAACCATGTCTATCACAGATCCTGTCAAGATATGTGGTAGAGTGCTGTGTATTATTATTCTTGTTGAGATATGTTGTAGAAAAGCCTCTATGACTTTTCTTGCTTGAAGATGTAGTAGTGTGTTTGCTATTACAGGTTTTGACTGACTTCTGTGAACACTCCATCCAGAGGTAGCTTGGCATGATCAATAGCTATAGGAATGTTGTACTGACACCAAGGTCTGGTGTGAGTGTGATGGTTGGTGGTGCTGACATGAGTGTCCAGTGTGTCAACTGAGTGCTTGAGGTGATCCCTGGACCACAGTGGATGACTGCCTTTGGTTCTAATTATTATCTGGACTGCTGGTTACTATGAACCACCTTCAGACATCAGTGAGCAGTGATACAACACATGTGCTACAATGGAAGCAATCTACTGTGATTGCAACTTTGCTGACTGAATACTAAGTATACTTATGTGAAGTTATAGCTAGTAATATATGGTGTAGAGTGGATGGGGATCCACTTGACCACTTAGGATGAGAAGGTATGGTTATATACATCTTTGCAGTGTCACCTGTGACTCTGCTCTGGCTCTCTCTCCAGAGAGTACCCTCTTTGTCGAGCACTGTGGTAGAGGTCTCTACCAAGGCGTCTCCTCCTTGCTGGCCCCTGCTTCTCCTGCTCCTGGGTCGAGGAGAGCCAGCGCCATCTCATCGTTGATACTTCATCGTCGTGTAGGGCCCCTACCTCATCTGGTGGCGACCTCAGATGTCCTTGCCACTAATCTTTATCATGTGATCCACATTACTGTCATCATCCTACTGATCTTCTGTGAGATCTGCCATGTGATTATGATGCTACTGGCTCCAGCAGGCATTGCCATAAAGTCCCACTTGTGCTGATTTGGCTGAGACCTGCCATAACCCAACTCTACTACCAATTCAGCTGGGACCTGTTGTAACCCATCTCTACTACCAATTTGGCAGAGACCTGTCATAAACCTTCCCTACTACCAATCTCATTGAACTCTGCTGTAGACTCTCGTTTGGCCTGATTCCATGATTCCTGCACCACTCTTCAGGTGATTCTAGATCTTCCTGCACATCCGGTCCTATGACAAGGAGCAGGAAGGACAAGGGATGGAGTAGGAGCCAGGTAGATAAGGGTGGACAGAGAGGCCACACCCCTGCAAGGAGGAAGGCTGTGGTGAAGTCGACACCATGGCACCAAAATATATATATGCCCCTCCATCATAGTGAATGAGTGGATCCAGCATCCACTCTATTCTTAACTAAAGTATACTCTACTGTAACATATACTTAGTTGCTCTGTCACATAGTGCAATTGCAGGCTGTTGCTACTAAACCAAGCAGGTGTGTTGTACCACCCCTCACTGATGTCATCTGTAGGCAGTAGTTACTGTGGTCCAGATATCTATCTCACTGAAGGCAGTACTCATACTGCAGTCTGGGCTTTCCTCACCAATTTGCCATCTGATTGTCAACACCTTGAACACTCATGTTGAGTCAACAATTATCATCATGTATACTAAGTGTTCTGCAGCAAGCAGGAGCTGACTGTGCTGTGCTACCACTGAACTGAGTGTTCACAGTGGTTAGCCAAAACTCATCAAACAAACAACCCTTCAAGCAGTCTCAGTGAAAGTGGCTGACAGGTGCATACTCAAGAGCACTCACTGAAACTGGTTGAAATCAATCAAGCCAGTAGATTTCGGGTTCCAGGCACGCGACCGCTGACACATGGCTCCTCAGTTGCCATTGACTGCACTATCCACAAGATCATCATGCCTGCCGTCAAGCGATCTGTCATGATTGCTTCCATCTCGACCCGTGAACTGGTTACCAAGGACTTTGCAATGGAAGGAGACGAAGAGAAAATGCCAGCCTCGGCTCATCAGATGGCCCAGAACCTTGCCGGCATCCTCGCTTTGGTTACCTGCAAGGAGCCTCTGCGCATCAGCATGATCGCCAACGCCCGCATTTTGCTCCTCGCCAACGGCTTCACCGAGCAGAATTTGCCTGAACAGGCAATCATGGTCATCATGCAGGAGAACCTCGACCTGGAACGTCTCAACGTGACGATGCCATCTCTGTGGAAACCATCGACGTCGTCTTTGCACCGCCTACACATTCCATCTGGCTTTTCGCAGCACGGCCACCGCCCGATTGCCTTGGAAGTCATCACTGACGGCCAGCCTGGCGAGTTCGCTACAGCAACTTGAAGTGCTCCCAGTATGTGCTACCGGGGGAAAGAAACAGACCTGCGAGTAGGCATGCAATACCAACAAGCTCGGGGTGAGGACACTGTAGGACTCATGCACACTCGCAACGCCGATCGATCTCTTGACGTTTCAACTCGACGAAGCCAGCCTCACCCTTCGCAGCGGTGGCTTAGGTGCACCGGCTCAGCAAGCCGATTCAAAATCAGATGAGATGGGACATTTCCGTCCGTGCAACAGGATTACTTTTGTGTCAAGGAAGTATACCAATACATGCTAGAAAGGGGGGGATGGGAGGGGGAATCACTGGGTTGGACCAGTCGAGGTATCAAATGTGCAAAGAAACAATGCTAACCAAGAGAACAACAAAAAAACTAGGTGACGGGGAGGTGGGGGGGAGGGGGGGATGTTGAACCATTACTTTTATGCGAATGCGTGACGATGACTATAGGAAGAGAGTGAAACTTCATGAGTTGCTTTGAATGTTTGCGCTGGGCGCAGCAGAAGTTTTAGCATCCCTCCCCTCTTAAGGGGAGGGGGCTTAGAACAACCAAGCGACGAACTTGCCCCACTGAGTAGTCGGAACCTTTTCCTGCACCTCATCTTTTGGATTCAACCTGCCCGAATCCAAATCGACCTCTGACAACTTGACCACTTTCGTCTTATGCCATAGTTTCCAGCCCAGCCATGGTACAAAAAAGGCGGGTATGCCGATGTAGCTTGTCAAGAATCCGCTTGCTGTGAAGTGCAGGAACGTCGACCATCCTGAGAATATGATAACTAAGCCGCACATGATTATACTAAACCAACTTGCATACGGCTGTAACCTCGCTCGATATGGGAGGGCATTGCGATCGTATCCTTGCAGAACACATGCCTTCCGAAAACGGAGATATGCAACGCAGCTTGTGCCCCAAGCAAACAGTCCTGCTACTGCTGACAATGCGGACAGCCAGGAAAAGACCGTTCCACCCCCTTTGCTGACTCCAAGGAATGCGAGGGCGCCCAGCAGCCAAGAAAATAAAACCGCGACATATGGTACTCCCCTCCTGTCAACCTTGCTGAAGATAGCAGGGCTCTGGCGGTCCAGGGACATCGCGTACAGAGTTCTCGAGGCCACGTAAATGTAGGATGATCCTGCCGAGAAGGCCGAAATCAGCACGACGGCATTAAAGATAGAGGGTAAGGTGTGGATACCAGCCTTTTGCATCGCTATTACCCACGGAGAGGCTCCAGTGTAACTGCCCTCGTTCTGAAGTCCGGGATCGTTGAAGGGGACAACGAGGCCCATAATTGCGATGCCGAGGATGTAGAAAAACAGGATGCGATAGAGTACTCGTCCAGCCGCTTTTGGGATCTGAGTAGAAGGGCTTTTTGCCTCGGCTGCGGTCAAGACGCAGACCTCCGTCCCAATGTAGGTGAAAGCCGCTTGGATCAAAGCCGAGAAGAAACCAAGGAAGCGACCTTCACTACCCAGGATAGCATTATACTGGTTGAACGCACCCGGATCCTTCCAGTACCTGAATCCCAACCTATCCTTCGTCGGACCTCCACCCAAATCGATCACCAGACCGAAAATGATCAACGCTACAAATGCCATCAGCTTAATCGTTGACGTGACTACTTCTGATTCACCATAGATGTTGACTCCAGCAAAGTTAAGTACTGCACCGGCAACCATCATGATACTGATCCATGCGGCAATGTTGATGTCTGCGTTCCAGTAGCCAATGACGGCTGAAGCGGCACTAAGCTCGGAAGCCCAACCAATAGCGTAGCACCACCAGTAGTTCCATCCGAGAGCCATTCCAAGCGAAGGGTCGACGAATCGGGAAGCAAAGTGCATGAATGAACCTGAGACGGGGAGGTAAGAGGACATCTCTGCGAGACCTTCCATAACACCGAAAATCATCATACCGGTGATGATGTAGGCAAGGAGAACACCGACGGGACCAGCGTTGGCGAGGGCGATACCGGATCCGACGAACAAGCCAGTGCCGATACCTCCACCGATACCAATCATTTGGATGTGGCGCGAGCTAAGCTTACGAGAGACAGCACCGACGCCGGATTGACCAGCGGGAATGTCGAAGGGGGAAGGATTGCAGGTGGATTTAGCTTGCTCGCCACCGGCAAGAGAGGCTGTTTTAGATGCATCGCCTTCGTTGCAAGGTGTGGCGGCGGCGGTGGAGGCGGCGGTGGAGGGGTAGGACTTGGGAACGCTAGCGATTGCGTCGTTGTCAAATGACTGTTTGGCGGACGACATTATGAGAAGCTCTCCTCCTGACACTGGGGGTGACAGATCCTTGGAGAGTTGACGAAAGGAGGGGGTAATGATGTGGAGAGGAGGAAGGATGGGGATGTGAAGGGAAGGGCTAGTTTTATTCAATTGGCCCTCACCCAATCAATCTTTCCTCGAACCTGGGGGAGGAAGAGTCGCACAATCACACCTAAGACTATCCACATGGCAACATGATTCGGATTTGGATTCAACCGGCAATCCATCAACACCATGGCGCCATATCCAGCATGAATCCCACCTACTCAAAAGAAGAATTAGGATGCATTGATGATTGGTCCAATCCTGGTGGGAGGCAAATGGCGCAAAACGTAGGGAAGGGGATCACGACATTTCGATCCAATCGAAACACAACATCACAAAAAAAGGTTTGCACGGTCCAGAAAAGAAGATTTCTCGATGCATCTTTCTCCCCCTCCGGTTGTCCGGTTCTTTACCGAATCTTGGACATGCCTCCTCAGCTGGGTTGCAATGCAGCATTGACATTCGACTTGCGAGGTGACTTGATACTGAAGCTCGATCGTCGTGCTAGAGAAATTAGGAGATGGCTTTCTCGCCTCTCTTTGCGAATTTTTTTTGCCTTGGTTTATTTCCCGGGATCGGAGAATTTTCTCCTTGCTCGCCCTTGACCCTTCCTCTCTCCATTGATGATGTCCTTGCTACTTTTCATGCCCGTATTTGCAAGATCCGCTTGGAGTATCATCAAATAAGCTCCTTTGGTCTGACCAGATCATCTCCAGAGGACAAGCAAACGTGGGGACAATTGATGGCGAGTAAAGTCCATCAATGGAAAGAATGCTGAATTTAGATCTCCCTGCTCGTTTGGTAAAAGTTTTCGGAAATTTTTTCCTCAGCTTGGCCGGGTAAGCCATGTGTCGAATAATGCGCCGCCGTTCTTCTCTTCCGCTCAAACCATCGAATCCGGAACATCGGGCATCCCGATCGTCATCGCATCATTCACGATGAAAAGAGCTCAAATGACGCAAAGCAGCCCACTTGTCCACCAGCTCAATTGGAACAAGCACGTCTTGGTTCAAAAGCAAGGTCGCAAGGTCTCATTGCATGTGTCCATGTGTCCGTAAGGGTAGAGACGCCACACACGTTCCTGAAAAGCACGGGTAAGCAGTGATGCGAAAACAATGAGATTGAGATTGCTGATGATGAGAATGCGGTTGCTGCGAGAAAAAATTAATGCTTTGAATGGTACATGGAACAATGATATGAGCAAGCCGAGAAGAAAGGATCGCCGCGGTATACTGGAGAGAAAGTTGGCAATCAAAGCGAGGACGGCGACAAGAAGAGACCGGAAATCGAAGTAGGTCGAATTCAACTTCAGAAGGAAACATTCCACTGCCATCGATCCTCCTGGAACCCTTCTGCCGTATCTGACAGCAGAATTTGACGACGCTTCTGCACGTACACCGTCAGATCTGTCACCTTTTGGCGCAACTCCGGAATCGTCTTTGGCTCCACCGGCTTCTCCAGCTGCTCTGAGAGATCCTCCACCGCTTTCTCCAAATCACGCTGATTGTCTTCAAACAACTCAGTCATATTGTCCCTCGCCAAGTAATACGCCATGCAATACGTCCATTTGAGCGTCATACGACACTCGGTCAACGTATCCACCGCCTTCTTCAGAAACTGCACCTCGATCCACGTCAACCCAGTGGAAATTTGCATCTCTTCCATCTTCTTCTCCGTCCTCCCGTACAGATCACGGTCCAACTTGGCCGACTGTTCGTGGTTAGCATATCGGTTGAAGTAGTGCAGGTATCGTTCGAGCTGAGCCCTTGACTTGGCCTGCGAATCGCGTGCTTCGGAGCCACTCTTCTCATCGTATCGGTTGCAGTTGTACCACGAGTTTCCGTGTTCCGACCAGGGTCCGGCACAGATCCAGCACCATTCGTACTTGCACTTGCGGCAAGTCATGTGGTTGCATCCACCGTTCTTTTCGATGGTCGACGTGCATTTGGGACACTCTTTCGTGTTGGCAGAGATCCAGTTGGCTGTTTCGCTATCGTCTTCGCACTTCTTGAGCCAAAGCTTGGCGACGGGACAGATGGCGGGAGCGTGAGCTGCATTGCCGCAGCCAAAGCAGAAAGCATGGCCGCAATCGCATGCTACCGAAGGAACAATCTTGTTGAGCGATTTGTTCGAGACGTGGCATTCAACTGCAAGCTCGCAGTTGGGCGCGGGACACCAGCGAAGGATGGCGCTGTCGTCGACATAGGTGCGGTTGAGCAAGATCTTGTAGCGTTCAAACACCTCTGGCCTGACAACCAGTCCGACAGTGCGCTCGTCCACAACCAGGTTGCACTTCTCGCGCATACACTGGACACGCCTCGACTCGCCCTCTTCTCGGATCTTCTGCCCCAAGTATTGCCCATAGCAGTCGCGGCAAAAGCGGTGGCCACATGCAAGCGCCAGCGTCTCCATCTTGCCACTCGGCTCATCGCCCGAACTTGTGAAGCACACTTGGCAGGTGAAATCGGGCAGCATCTGGAGCTTGGGTCGCGATGGATCCTCGAGCACGCCAGCTTCGAGTTTGACCTTGTCCGGTGAGTCCATGTATCGTTCGATGAGGCGCTCCTTGTTCCAGCCAAAGTGACGTAACAGGATGGCCGCGTCGGTGTCTTTGATCATGAACATGCTGGCGACGTGCTCGACTTCTTTCTGCTGTGCTTCTTCGATCGAGCCGACCGTATGGGACTTGTACTCGACCTCGTAGCTCTTTGCCCGATCGGCTGCTGGATCGGCGCCGGCGAAAGCGTCATCGGCTACGCCGAAGCCAAGCTCCTCATCTTGCTCTTCCTCATCCGAGTCGCCAGCGAAGTCGCCGTATGTCGAGTCCTCGTCCATGGTATCCTCGACATCGTCGTCGAGGAGGTACTCGTCGCTGAGATCCGACATAGTGTATGCGTTGTTTGCGTCGTTGGACGCTATGAAGTGGGCGTAGGAAGGCTGGTGAGACGGCCTGAACGAGACCTGGGTAGAGCTCTGAGTTGAACGCTTCGTCGCGAGGGGATGTAGACCGTTTCTCCTTCGTATAGCTGTTTCGAATGGCGCGCTTGAGCCAGATCGTCGCTAAAGGCGATGACTGCAGCTCCAATATCGGGAGCGCGAGAATGGGGGATTGATGGGATGCGATGCTGAACTATTGCTGAACTTGCTGAGTGCCGTCTAGATGATCGAGACTATTGCGAGAGCTATGCTAGGCTGTGATAAAGCGATGACTTGCTGGAGGACGAAGCTCGTTGATGCGATACAATATGCGGTAAGATCCGACCTGTGCTTACTGCTGCAGTATGCGATGATGACTTTTGTAAGAAGTATGCAATGCTAGTTGCAGGATTGTTATGGATCGATGCAGGCAGCTATATGCGATGTGGCGATAAGGTGAGAAGTGCGACGCGGATTCGAATGCCCAAAATGCTGAGAGAGTGATGAAAGTGCTGAGTCAAGAGCAGAGTCGAAGCCAGGAGAGCGGGTGAAGGTGGGTTGAATGCAGGATTCGTGGACGAGTGAGAGAGGGTGTGTGTGTGAGAGAGTGAGAGTGAGAGAGAGTGTGATTGAAGGTGAAAGGAGATCGGCTGGGCGCAGCAAGTCAAGTGGAGTTAAGCTATCGAGGACCTCATCGAAATCATGAAATCCGACAGTCAGTCACGCTTGAAAGACGCTTGAAAGATACGTGAGCAGCTGCTGCTGTTGCGCTCAGCCAGCCAACGGTTGGTGACTGACTCTGTGACTGAGTTACTCAAAAGTGTCACTCTGACGCGCATTTTCATGCATACTGATCCAGCGTCAATCTTACATCCTACGCAAATCCATATAGCAACTCCGCTACAGCGCATACGATTCGTGACCGTATCTCATCGCTGGCTATCAGTGCTGTCGCTTCACTGACCCGGCATCACGCTATCTAGATAACATGAGCGCTACCATTGAAACAGTATCTCTCTCCACGCTCAAGCATCGTCAACCCGCAACGAGTGAAGGCACGTCAAGCAGGCATACATAGCAAAGTCACACAAGGTCAGGCTGCTGTTGCGGTGGTGTAAGAAACCATCTGTGCTGATACTGGTACGGCTTCGACAAGCTCGCTCATAGACGTGACCAACACTGATCTCAAAGAATATTCGAAGCGACAAACAGCACACAGAGCAAAGACGATAGATGGTACAGCAAGGCATGGATTTAGATCCGTCTCTAAAGCATGATGTTTTTTTGAGGTCAAACATGAGGGGTACGGTTAATGAGAGTACACAGTGCATCGGCGCAAATGCACAAGCCAGAGTTTCCACTTGAGCAACGTTATGGATTGCTTGCTTAGTGAATGCAACTCGGGATCGCGCCTACACCACTGAGACCAAGGATGCAAAACTAAAGATAAACAGCCGAGAAAGGGCGATTTACTTCTGAGCGGCAACACGGGCCTGGAGACGGAGGTTCTGCTCGAGCGGACCGTGGTTGTTGATGTACTGGAGGTAGCAACCGTCCTTGAGGATACGGTTCGACTGCTTGGCCTCGGCGTACTGCTCTCGGTTCATGTTGGTGAAACCCCACTTCTTCGAGATGATGATCTTTTGACGACCAGCGAACTTGTATCGCGATCGACGAAGAGCCTCGAGAACGACGGCCTTGTTGCTGTCACGCGAACGGACGGAAAGCAGGATCTGGCCAATGTTGACACGCGCAACGGTACCGTAGGGCTTGCCGTAAGCACCACGCATACCAGTCTGGAGCCTATCGGCACCAGCGCACGAAAGCATCTTGTTGATGCGGATAACGTGGAAGGGGTGGACACGAACACGAAGGTGGAACGAGTCCTTACCCGAGGTCTTGGTGATGTACTTGTTGGCACAGATACGGGCAGCCTCTAGGGCCTCTGAAGTAATCTGCTGGTGCTCATCGCAGACAAGGTGAGCGCAGAAGGGGAAGTCATCGACCGAAGCCTTCTTACGGCCAAGATCATAAATGCGGATCTGTAGAGGAGAAACGATGGCAGCAGAGCGTCAATGCAAAATGTCAGTGGTGAGTTCACGCGGAAATGGTGTCGAGATGCAATAGCAGAAGGGACCAGTGAGATCCAGCGTGCCAGCAGACGGTTAGCGTGATCGCCAAACCAAGGTCAAGGACCAGATATTCGTGATGATTCCCCTCCTCGTCATGCCCTGGTCAAATCGATTACGGGTTGTCCACCGTACAGACCCAGTCCGGGTGAAACCCAAACCATTTACATCATCTACAGCTGATACGTCATGTATACCTGACAGGGCTTTGTTGATGTCAATCGATGCCATGCAGTGCTGTGATGTTTCTTCCCGTTCTTCGGCTCCTTGTCTGAGTACGTATCAAGCTGTGTGTCCAACTTCAAGGCTGCATCTCTCCTATCCGCTCCCGACAGCTGATGTTGGGTCCATCTGATGTCCTGTTCATCAACATCAACTTGTATCAACCAGCAATGTTGTTGCCGTGCTTTGCTTGTCGATCTGTTCTCTGACTTCAATTGTCCACATCCATGCCATGTCATGCTTGTTGTGTTTGGATCCAGCGCTGCTGATACAGCTGACACGTCTGAATCGTTTGGTTTGCTAATGCTGATGCTGCGTGTTATACATACCTTGGAGTCGGGGACACCACGGTTGTACCTCGACTTGGGGAAGGGCTTGTTCTTGCAGTAGCGATAGCAGCGGGCAGGTCGTCGTCCCATCTTGAATACTGTTGTCGATTGAAGTTGGTGGGGCGATGAAGGTTGTAAAGAGATGAAGGGAGCCGGTTGCAAAAGGTCGAAAGGGATACCCAAAGTCAGTTGACTGTTGCAGTTACTGATTTTGGAGCTAATGTCTCGATAGACTGCGCGGGAAGCCGATATCAGATCGAGAGATAATGCGTCTCTGTCTTTATATAGTGATGCTGAATTTCGGGCGGTGTAGCATGTGTTGTCGGCGATAACTTACCTTTCTTGAGGGGTTGATGAGTCGGTGGAGGAGAAGAGGCAGGAGGATGCAGGCGGTTCAGCAGTGGCGACAACCTCGAAACGCTCTCACTCTCTGCTTGCTGATCGCTGCCAACCAGTCTCTCGCAACTCAGCCTCAGCGCAGCGCTTCTCCAGCGAGATACAGGCGCTGCTGCCTCAAATTGCATGCCATGCCTCTCTTCCAGTCTTTGCTGTGTTCGTCCAACTGGAGCCCACGGCCTTGTGTGTGACCTCACGGCTCCTGGTGCCCACTGTCCTTATATCCGAGCCATTGAGCCTGTTATCGAATCGGCAATCCAATCTCTATTGTGACTGTTCTGCAGCCTTATTATTCTCAGTCCTAGCGTGAATACAAACATTATAGCTGTTTGGGACATCGGCCGAGTCTACTTCAGGTCTTTTTCTATTTTTTCAATATTTTTCGATTTTCTTCGGCAGCGACGAATAACGAATTTGTATTCCTCCCTCAGCCAGACTCAATGAGCGTGGCACTGATTTCCACAAGATGAGAGATTCAGCGAGAGGCAACAGTTCGTCGATTCTTCGAGAGAGTTGTGAGCAGGCAAAGACGGATTGCGGATGCGAAGGTCAGTTGTGTGTTAGGAGAGTGCCTGCCAGTGTGAGTGCGAGTCCGGTGAGTGTTGGCGCCGATTCGAGATTGAGGTCGACATCGCTAGTCGCTATCGCTTCTTCCGCCTTACCATCAAGGCCACCCCCAATACATACGTCAAGGTTAGTATCAGCATATTCAACATGCTCTCGACTTGCAAACAAGACGCACGCACGCAGGATTCGTTCAATCGCATCCTCCCAATGGCAATGACAGACGGCACTTGGTGGACTTGACACTTGGACACAGCAGTCAAAAGGTTGTTACTTCTATCATGGATATGATGATGCTCTGGTGGCGAGCATTGCAGTCGTAGAGCTCTTTTCGTTGCGGCTTTGATGAGACTTGTACTGACTTCATCGATCCTTTTTGCTACACCTATACTGAAACCTTGAATTGAATCGCACGCAAAATCTCTGCACCTAACTCGACTCGACTTGGCTCTACTCTGCACCCAACCTGACATCTGCATCACCTCACACCGCACTCTCGACCTTGTCCTTCTACCATCGCCAATTCGCACACTTCACATCGCATCGCATCACCCCGACTCTACCATCCCTCTCGCACATCCCGACTCTTGACTCCGTTGCACACCAAAAGATGCCTACCCACCTCTCCAAGACCCGAAAGCACCGTGGACACGTTTCCGCCGGTAACGGTCGTGTCGGCAAGCACCGCAAGCATCCAGGTGGTCGTGGTCTCGCCGGTGGTCAGCACCACCACCGTACCAACATGGACAAGTACCACCCTGGTTAGTATCTGCCATTAGAAAGCATGCAGTATTCACTCGATGACCGTCCACCAGCGATACAGCGACACAACAGGAAGAATCGAATACTGTCAGGGCGGTCAGATAATAGGAAGGAGAAGCAAATCAAAGACTGGACGGTTTGGCTGTCGAACGGATTAGACGGAGTCACGCAGCATCATGTTCGCATGGGCAGGACATGGCAGAATCTTGATCAAAAGCCCATGGCACATCGCAAGCAGGATTAGGAGGTGGCATTGTCGATCTGCCGCAAGCTAGATCATGCGTTCGTTGCTTGCTTTCACCTTTGATAGTGTAGCGAAGACAATCAGGACACGTTGAAGGTGGCTCACGGCGACCTTGGAACGAGTTTCGGGCAGAGAACCAAGAAGGTGCAGCTTCCGGACTATTGCTGCTGGAAATTGGCTGGCTCAATCTGGCTGCTGGACGATCATCGTTGAGAGAATGCTATTTTGACGCATCGCATACGCAGTACGAACATCCTTATTGATAACTCGTCTCCTCGCCTTTTACACTCTCACCTCCACTCCAACAGGTTATTTCGGTAAGGTCGGTATGCGTCACTTCCACTTGACCCGCAACTCCTCCTACCGTCCCGTTGTCAACCTTGACAAGCTCTGGACTCTTGTCCCCGCTGAGCAGCGCAAGGGTTTGACCGCCTCTTCCACCGAGGTCCCCGTCATTGACACCCTCGCTGCCGGTTACGGCAAGGTTCTCGGCAAGGGTCGTCTCCCTGCTCTCCCCTGCATCGTCAAGGCTCGTTGGGTCTCGTCGCTCGCCGAGAAGAAGATCAAGGAGGCTGGCGGTGTTGTCAAGCTCGTTGCCTAATTTTGGACAACGATGGACTTGGTAGCATTCTCTTTCTCTCCCTTTTTCTCGTCTCGATCTATTGTAACACTTCCCGATAGGCATACACCGCGGATATGATGGTGTGATGCAGCGTCTTTCGCGGTTTTTACAGATTTGTTCAGCTTGCTGCATCAGGGTAACGTTAGCTAGCGAGTTATCTTCTTTTTGCAAATGAAACTCGTTAGCTTGCTTGCCATACACATGTACCTTTACACTCACACAGAGCTTCTTTCCTGAATGGGAAGGAGTGCAACACCCAAAATTATCAGACCACGATATCATTTTGCACTGAACCAAACCTCCACTGCCTGCTGTCTGTCCGTGTCCCTTGCATTCAACTCTTGTTCAAGAGCCAGATCCTGAGTTCTTGCCTCAACGAGTTGCTCAAAGAGTCAGCTAGCGTTGTGTTTTACTGAACATCCACTTGAATCATTCCTCAGGCACGCCATACGAAGGAACGTATCAATGGGGGGGTGGTAATATTAGAGGCGGTTGACGCCTGGGATGCGATATGATTCTACAGAGACAAGGGACGAAACAACGAGGAAAAGCAGTTGAATCCAAAGCGAGTTGCGATAGAGAAATGAAAGACTACCTTCGCCCCACAGTAGGGGCTTAGGACAAACCAATGACCTCGCCGTCCTCGGTAAGGTCCATATCATAGTATCCAGGTCTAGTGTTCAAACCAGGCATCTTACTCATAGCACCGCACATGACCACCAACAATCCTGCTCCCACCGAAGCATAAACCTCCCTAACGGGAACAGTGAATCCAGTCGGAGCGCCCTTCTTGCTGGGATCGGCGGAAAGGGAGAGATGAGTTTTAGCCATGCAAATCGAAAGATTACCAAAACCATTCTTCTCGATCGTTTGGATCTGCTTTTCGGCTTGTTCGGAAAGCTCGATCCCATCAGCACCGTACATGTCCCTTGCGATCGCTTCGATCTTTTGTGTGATGGGAAGCGTGGGCTCGTAGAGGAAGTTAAATTGGGAAGCTTTTCCTTCAAGTTGTTCAATGACAGCTTTGGCAAGGTCGACGGCTCCTTCGCCGCCCAAAGCCCAGTGGTTGGCGGGGACCGCATCGTCAGCACCTGCCTCCAGTGCCTTCTTGCGGACCAGTTCGAGCTCGGCAGGCGTGTCGGTGGTGAACTGGTTGATCGCAACGATAACCTTCAAACCGAACTTCTTGGCGTTGCTGATGTGTTTAGCAAGGTTAACACAACCTTTCTCGAGAATATCCAAGTTCTCTTCGAGGTAAATCTCGCTGAGAGGCTTACCTGGAGTAACCTCCGGTCCACCACCATGAGTCTTGAGCGCCCTAACAGTAGCCACAATAACCGCAGCATCCGGAACAAGCCCCGACTCACGACACTTGATGTTACAGAACTTCTCCATACCAATATCCGCACCAAACCCAGCCTCCGTAATCACATAACCCGTCCTCTCCACCGGCTCCCCCTCCTCAATACCAGCCAGCTTCAACGCAATAGCATCGGCAAGAATGGACGAGTTACCATGAGCAATGTTCGCAAATGGCCCCGCATGAACAAACACGGGAGTCCCCTCCAACGTCTGCATCAAATTCGGCTTAATCGCATCCTTCATCAAAATAGCCAAAGCACCACCGACTCCAATATCGTCAGCGGTAACTGGATCACCAGCACGCGAAGTACCAATCACCATTCGTCCAAGACGTTCTCGCATATCCTTCAGATCCCTACTGAGCGCTAAAACAGCCATGCACTCCGAAGCGACTGCGATATCAAACCCGGTCCTTCGAGTAATACCCTTTTCAGTCGCAGCTTGACCAACCGTAATATCACGCAAGTAACGATCATTGGTATCCGTAACACGTCTCCACGTAACCGTCTCCGGATCAATGTCCAATCGTGCAAACTTGGCCTTTTCTTCATCCGTCAGATCATCAGGATTGGCCTTTTCAATGCCCAACTTGTTCAACCTTCGGAACATGATCGGTGCGAAAGTCCTAACCCCCTTCTTCTTCGGACAGAGACGGTCGAACAAGGCAGCATCCTTCTGAGTCGCCTCATGGAACATCCTAGTATCGATAGCGGCAGCGAGAAGATTGTTTGCAGCCTGAACAGCGTGGTTATCACCAGTAAGATGCAAGTTGAATTCTTCCATAGGGATGACTTGGGAGTAACCTCCACCGGCAGCACCACCTTTGATACCGAAAGTAGGACCTTGGGAGGGTTGACGAACACAAGCGAAAGCCGATTTGCCAAGATGAGCGCCAAGAGCTTGTGCAAGACCGATGGTGGTGGTGGATTTACCTTCGCCAAGGGGGGTAGGTGTAATACCGGCAACGACGATGTATTTGCCGTTCTTGCGATGAGCGAGACGCTTGAGAACGGAAAGATCGACTTTGGCTTTGACAAATCCGTAGGGTTCGAGCTCGGAGGAGATGAGACCGATTTCGCGGGCGATGGTGGTGATCGGCTTGGGTGTCTGGGAACGGGCGACCTCGATATCGGAGGGAACCTTGGCGAGGGGCTTGATGGGGTTGGGACGAACAACGCCACGGCCGATACCGAGGGCACGGCCATCGGCAAGGCTGCGTTCGGCACTGATGAGAACGTTCTCCATGAGCATGGCCACAGTCATGGGTCCAACTCCGCCAGGAACAGGAGTGATGGCAGAAGCGACCTTACTAGCGGCTTGAAAGTCGACGTCACCGACGAGACGGTAACCCGACTTCTTGGAAGCATCGTCGACGAAGTTGGTACCGACGTCGATAACAACTGCGCCCTTCTTGAGCCATTCGCCCTGAATGAAGTGAGCCTTGCCCATAGCGGCAATGACGATATCAGCCTGAGCAAGATGAGCCTGGAGATCGGCAGTACGGCTATGGCACTGAGTCACAGTGCAGTCCCTGCTACGAAGAAGAGAAGCGACGGGGTTACCGACAATGTCACTTCGACCAATGACAACAGCACGAAGACCCGCCATGTTGGTAATGCCAGCCTTCTCGAGCAGTTTGATGCATCCAGCAGGAGTGCAAGGGAAGAAAAGAGGGTTGCAAGCCTTCGATGAGAGATGGCCGATGTTAAGAGCGTGGAAACCATCAACATCCTTCTCTGGGCTGATCGCCTCCGTTACACGTCGCTCAGCATCCGAGTCGATGTGATCACCAAGAGGAAGCTGCACAAGGATACCATCCACACTGATATCCTCGTTGAGCTCACCGACACGCTTGATGATCTCAGCCTCGGGGGTGCCCTCGGGCAGCTGAACGTGGGTGTATCGCATACCACACTCTTCAGCAGCGAGCTTCTTCATGCGAATATAGGTGGAAGAAGCGTTCATGGAACCGACTTGCATGATGCAAAGGTGAGGCTGGAAGGAAGAGTGTTGCTGCTTGAGCTCGGAGATTCGCTGTGCGACGCGAGCGCGCACTTCTTTGGCGAGGGCGGTACCATCGATGAGCTTGGCACCGCCGGGGGTGGTTGCGAGATCAGCCATTGCGTCGGTGAAAAGCGAGCGGAGGGAAAGGCTGCCGGAACGGGTGGTCGATGTTAGTGCTCGTAGGGAAGAGTGAGTGGTGGGACGACGAACCGAGGAGAGGGAGCGGATCGTCGGTGTGACGGTGAGGACGGTGGAGATGCTTCGCTGCTGCTGTTGGGAGAGAGAAGCTAAGTGTCTGCAAGCCGAGCGGCGGAGGAGCATGCCAACGACAACGACTTTGGAGGTGGCAAGTGAAGGAGCGGATGAGGGTGGGGGGTGAGTGCGAGGTGTTTGTTGAAAGGGCGGCGAAGATCGTCGACGTCGGCTATTGACAGTAGCTAAACCAGCAGAGTCCAAGGTACGTGCGCTGAGAAGAAAAGTGTCATGTGGAGTTGCGGACAAGCTTGAGCCGAGTGAGAGCAAAGTCGGTCTTTCTGTTACACAACCACAGCAGCGGCGGGGCTGACCAAATGAGATTCTTCTCAACAGCAGTTGAAGATTTACAGGTAAAACGCGACTGTTTAGGAGCTACTAGCAAGCTCAACTTTTCAGGCATATAACGGTTGTGTGTCTTTGTTAATTGATAGGTGCTACAATGTGAACATATATATACTTGATTGCTATCTTCAGCCCATACTAGATCATAATGAACTATTTTTCATATCACCCCTGTGTTGTCACCTCCTGAGCATTGCCATCTCCTGAGTGTTATTGTTGAAGTATTTATATGTCCCACATGCATATCGATGCATGTTGACATGCAGCTCTGACTCACCAGTGTCTCACTTGTGCTCTGTGAACCATGTGGTTCAGTTTAGGATGCCAACGCATCTTCAACTCCCCCCCTCGATGGCATCATCAATCCTATTTGGCATGCAATCCAAGATGTGGCCAAGCCCTTTAGCAGCTTCGTGAGGATGTCTGCGACGTTGTCTGTTGTCCCGACGAAATCGATTTTGACTTCTCCTTCCTGAACATGGTCTCTGATGAAGTGGTACCTTGTGTCGATGTGCTTCAACTTCCAGTGCTTGGCGGGGTCTTTGCTTACCTGGATACATCCTTGACTGTCTGTCCGCAATGTCGGTGGTTGGGCCTCAACTCCCAGGTCCCTGAGAAGGTATGAGAAGAAAAGAGCCTCTCTTGTTGCCACCGAAGCAGCTACGAATTCGGCCTCGACTGCTGACAATGCCATGCACTTTTGAACATGTGATCTCCAGCTAACCGGGCACCCATACATGTATGTTACTCCCCCTGATGTGCTTCTTCATCCGTTTGTTGGGTCCAATGCCCAATTTGCATCAGTATATGTAACGATTTGCTGTCCCGAGTGTTTGTTCGCTTCATCTCCGAAGAGTAACTTATATTTGCTGGTTTGATTTAGGTATTTCACCAAATGTAATGCTGCCTTCCATGCATTGCTTGTTGGGCTTGACATGTATCTTGCTAGTGTTCCTATGGTGAATGATATGTCAGGCCATGCTGTGTTAGATACCCATAAAAGCTGTCCAACTAATTCTTGGTACTGTTTTGCTGCCAATGAGTTGCACTTGTCACCACCCGTAATACCCATCAGGCTCTGCATTGGTACCCATGACTTCAGATCAGTTGTTTGTAGCCACTTTCTCACCATAGCCTTAATGTAAGCTGTTAGATCGAGTGTCATCCTTCTCCATATTCTGTCTCGATCTATCCTTACACCTAAGAACTCCTTCACAGGTCCTTTATCTTCCATTCCCCATTTTGCCATTATCTCATCCTTAGTGTGGCTTACCTCCATGCAACTGGGTGATGTTATAAGCATGTCATCTACATAGGCTGTGATGATTGTCATGCTATTGCCTGTTCCTCTTGAGTATAGGCATGGAGCACTTGGCATGCAATAGAAACCTATCTTTCGTAGGTGTGAGTCTAGTGTCAGGGGTCTCGCGCCTGAAACCCAGGTCGGTCTGTCGAGATACTCGGTGACTATCAAACTGTGCAACAGCTATTGTCTCGGTATTGGTGACTATCAAGTTGTGCAGTGACAGCAGGTGGCGTTCGTTGTATATACTATCGTAGGTTTCAGCTGACCTCTGTGGACACTCCATTCAGGGGTAGCTCGGCACGATCAATATCAATGTTATGATGACACCAAGGTCTGGTGTGAGGGTTGATGATGATGAGGTTGATGGTGTTGGTGATGAGATTGGTGATGTCGATGATAATGAGGTTGATGGTGTTGGTGATAAGGTTGGTGGCGTCAACATGAGTGTCCAGTGTGTTGACTTGATGCTTGAAGTGATCCCCGGACCGCAGTGGACTACTGCCTTCGGTTCTATCTATATCTGGACCGCTAACCTGCTATGGGCGCCTTCGGATGTCAGGTAGTGGTGATACAACACACACACTACAATGAGGAGCAACCTTGATAGATTGCTGCTATGCTGACTGTAACTAATGAGTACTTGTGTTTCTAAAGTATTGACTAGTTGTATGGTGAGTAGAGTGGATGAGGATCCACTCGACCTATTGATGATGAGAAAGCATGGTTATATACCTCTTCTCAGCATCGCCAGCAATGCTGCTCCTGCTCTCTCTCCAGAGAGTACCTTCTTCATCGAGTACTGCTCAGGGGCCTCTCCTGCTTGGCACCCCTGTGCCTCTTGAGCTGTGTCGACTCCTTCGACACTGCTCCTCCTCCTCATGACCTGGTGTCAACTCCTTCGACACTGCTCCTCCTCCTCATGACCTGGTGTCAACTCCTTCAACACTGCTCCTCTTCCTTTGACCAGTGACAGTTCCTTTGACTCTTGTCTCTCGAGCCCCTGAGTGGTAACCATCTGAGCTTGGTCCTCTTCATGGCTGTGCCTGCTCCTTGAGCTTGGTCCTCTTCGTGGCTGTGCTTGGCCCTTCTTTGCATGTGAGTCCGTAGGAGTCCATGGTCTCCATGGAGGCTGCACTACAACCATGCTCTCTACTGATCTCGACTAGATCTTCGATACCTGTTGAACCCGTGACCCTCCTGCTTCTTGAGCATCCAGGCCCATGACACTACCCCCCTCTTAAGAGCCGAGCTCCGTCGAGGCATGCTCTGGTCTGGTACATGCTGACTCCTCCTCCTCGACAACATCGCCAACATCATCCTTCCTCCTTCTCTCTCTACTCCTACTGCTTCCTCTTCCTCTCTCTACTCCTACTGTTCTCTACTTTGTCTACTCACTCGTCCCCCCTCCGACACCTCATACTCCTGGATGAGGTCGGGACAGTTGAGGTTCTCTACTGGTTCCCATGAAGCAGCTTCTTCTGAGTACCCTCTCCACAACACCTTGTACTCTGTAGTACCATTGTGTGAACGCTTGTCGATGAGTGCTTCGACTTCGAAGTCGAGGTCCTCATCTGGAAGTGATGGTATGGTGGGCTGTTCAGCACGTTGAGGAAGAGAACTTGTTCTTGCTGGCTCGAGCATGGAGACATGGAACACGTCATGCACCCTAAGGTTTGCTGGCAATGTGATTCGATAAGCTCGGCGTCCTACCTGTTCCTGAACTGGGTAGGGTCCTGCAAACCGGGTATCTAACTTGGGTGTGGGTCTCCGTGTCTTCCAGTTTTGACGGTTGATATAGACCATATCACCCACCTTAAACTCGATGTCCTTGTGCTTCCTGTTATACTGGTCTACTGATCTATGTTGTGCCTCTCTGATCTGCTCCTGGAAGTACTTGCAATGCTCCTTTCCATCCATGAGGTACTCGAAGCGACCTGGATCATTGACTCCTAGTCATTGAGGGATGTCAGGATGAGCTTTGGGGTTCCATCCATAGCATGCAAAGAATGGTGAGACACCAATGCTGTTGTGGACCGTGTTGTTGTAGACAAAGGCTGCAGTGTCCAGCAGGTTGGCCCAGTCATCCTGCTCATAGTTGCAGTACATCCTGAGGTATTGCTCTATGACCTGATTGACTCTCTCTGTCTGACCATCAGTTTGAGGATGGTAAGCTGTACTAAGTGAGTGCTTCACACCCATTTGCTCTGCAAATGCCTTCCATGCTCCTGATATGAACTGCCTGCCTCGGTCCGAGACCATGTGATCTGGATATCCGAAGAGTCTAACCATGTGTCCATATAGCAATACTGCAGTCTGTTTGGCTGTGACTGTCTTATGGGTTGGAGCTAGTATGGCAAACTTGGTTAACCGGTCGACAATGACTAAGATAGAGTCATAGGTCTTGGAGTCATACTTCTTCGATGGTGGTAGTCCTTCGATGAAGTCGAGGGATATGGAGCCCCAGGGCCTGTCTGGTGTTGCTAGTGGCTGTAGCAAACCATATGGACAATGATGAGGAGCTTTGTACCTAGCACATACAGGACAACTTGCTACATAGTCTGCAATCCAAGCTGTCATGTTTGGCCACCAGTAATGTCATTGAGCTGCCTTGATGGTAGCATCTCTTCCTACGTGTCCAGCAGTAATACCATCATGGCATTGGGTCATCACCATGAATCGCAGATGCTCTACAGAGAGAGACTGTCCATCTACCTCTTTGGCACTCCTTGAGTGTCGGTTGTTGGTCCTCCCTGGCATGATCACTTTGGGGATAACCAACCTTCCTCCACTGTACCATAGGTCGTCCTTGAGTTCGAAGGGCTTCTTCCTATGTATCTCCTGTAGCTCTTGGTCTAAGGGCTGGAAGATCTTGACCAGGTCTTTGAGACCTTTTGATGCTATGGACTCCATCAAGAGCATAGGGGCCACTAGGGTCGAGTCATGGTCTGCTGTCTCCTTGAACACTCGAGGAGGCAGTAGTTGCCTCACATTGTGATCCTGCTCTTCACCAGCTGGTTGCATGTCAGTCCTTCTGGTGAGAGCATCGGGTTCACCACCTTTGTCTCCTGGTCGATACTGCAATATGAAGTCGAAGTCTGCTAGTAGTATGGCCCATCGAGCCTGTCGACCTGTGATGCATCTCTGTGACTTGAAGTACTTGAGGGCTTCATGGTCAGTGAGGATGACCAGTTGACTCGGTAGTCCAGCTAGCATGTGTCGCCACTGAGTAAGGCAGGCGACCACAGCTAGGAGCTCCTTGTCATGGATTTCATAGTTCTTCTCGGCAGAAGACATCTTCCTAGAGTAGAAAGCCACTGGATGCCATCGTCCTTCATGCTCCTGCTTGAGTACTCCTGCTATAGCAAAGTCACTTGCATCAGTCTCCAACCTTGTTGGAAGGTGGTAGTCGAAGTGCTGAAGCACTCCTGCTGATGTGAAGGCCTGGATGAGCTTGTGGAAGGCCTGTTGGGCCTCCTCTGGTAGCTCGAACTTCTTGAACCGTTCTATAGGCTTTACCAGTGCTGTCAAGGGCTTGGCTATGCGAGCAAAGTGGGCTATGAACCTTCGATAGAAGTTGGCAAAACCCAGAAACCTCTGGATGTCATGGATTGACTCCGGCATTGGCCACTCCTTGACAGTGCACACCTTTTCTGGGTCCATCTCCATGCCCATTGGCTTGATGATGTACCCCAGGAACTCGACTGTCTTGGTGTGGAACTCACACTTCGACAGCTTCGCAAAGAGCCTGTTGCTTCTTAAGCGAGTGAGGACCTCAGTGACATGCTTCACATGTGCTTCTTCAGTGTCACTGAAGATCAGGAAGTCATCTAGGTATACTACCACATATATCCCAATGATGTCTCGGAAGATGTCATTGATGAATGACTGGAAGTGAGCCAGAGCATTGGCTAGGCCAAAGGGCATCACTAGGTACTCATAGAGTCCCAACTGAGTGCCAAAAGCTGTCTTCCATTCATCTCCTTTAGCAATCCGGATGAGGTTGTATGCTGCTCTAAGGTCTAGCTTGGTATAGATCCTTGCCTTCCTGAGTAAGAACAGCTGCTCCTCGATGAGAGGCAATGGTGCCCTATTCTTGACAGTGATCTTGTTGAGACCTCTGTAGTCCACACAGAGTCTGAGACCTCCATCCTTCTTTGGTACAAAGAGCACTGGTGATCATGCCAGGCTCTTCGATGGTCTTATGAACCCCTTCTCGAGGTTCTCATCCAAGTACCTCCTTAACTCGGACATCTCCTTGGGTCCCTTAAGGTATAAGGGCCCTTGAGGTGGCTTCCCTCCTTCTATCAACTCGAGGTGGAGATCATGCTTGGTATGATGGGGCAGCTTGTCTGCTTCCACCTCATCAAACACATCTCGCAGGTGTTGGTATGGCTTTGGTATGTCTGCAGCCGTCACCACCTTATCTACCTCCACCTCCATCTCGACTCCTTTGTCTGCACCTGTAGGTACAAAACCAAAGGCCGGGAGTGATGATGGTGGCTCCTCTAACAGCATGAACCCTATGGGTCCATCTTCCAGAGCTGCTCGTAGTATGTGCTCTGCTGAGACAAACTCGTTACCATGAAGGGTTGGTCTCCTCATGGTTAGGTCCCCTGCTCTTGCTGCCTCAGGGGGTCTCCTTGGGGGTCGGTCCTGCTCCTGAGTCTTGAACTCCAGCTGGCCCATATCCCATTGTATGGTGGGTTTGAGCCTCCGTAGCTCAGTGAACCCCAGGATGAGGTCATAGTCCGCAGTGTCAGCCACTGAAGCTTCGACCACACCCAGATTGTGTGTACCAATAGATACCTGCATGCTCGCAGAACTATTGATGGAGAGTTGGTGCCCGGTGACACCATGGATCGATCTTGTTTTTATGGGTTTTGTGGGTATTTGGTACTTACTAATGAAAGAATCTGAGACTATGGACAAACCAGCACCGGTATCAGCTAGTATCTGAGCAGGATGGTCTTGAACCATTCCAGAGAGCTCCAGTACTGCTTTGCCTCCACTGGTAGAGAAACATACTTGACAATCTTGATATATACAGAGTGATGGCGAGGACGTTTGTAGAGAAATGCATGCCATCAGTGCATCACCCCACTGATGTTTCCCTCATCATCATCATCATCATGCTCCTCCTCGTGATCGGGGTCCATGGGTTGCTGGTATGAGCTGAGGTCCATGGCCTCGGGGTCACCCGTCTCAGTGCTGCCTGTGTGGCCATCTCCTGAGTCGGTGGCCTCCTCGAAGGGGTCTGCTGTGGTGACCATAACCTTTGGACCCATGGGTCGAGAGCTAAGAGGGTCTACCCTCCTGCTGGGGCAGTCTCTGGCCCAATGGCCGATACCCTTGCATACATGACAGGTGTTGATACCTGATGGAGCAGGGCTTCCTTGCTTCGAGGGTTGGGTGGGTTGATGAGGAAGGGGTCGGTTAGTTGGTCTGTTTAGGTTTTGTGTAGTTGCTTGTGTAGTTGCTTGTGCTGGTGATCGAGCTGGATAAGGTTGAGTGGGTTGACATATGGGGATTGAACTTTGAATTGGCCGAGACCCAGTTCTTAGTGGAGGTGACGTGGCATTTGGGAGTGAGTGTCTAGCTGAGGACTGCTGTAGTAGCATCCTCTGTCGATCGATCTCCTCGACCTCTCGATACCACTCCCATCTCTTCCCAGGTGGATTCCTCTCGAACTTCTCCTGTATGCTATGAGTGAGACTACCTCTGAAGAGATCGATTACTAGCTCATTGTCATCTAGGTTGACCTGTCCCTCCAAGTCTCTGAACCGCTCTACATGACGTGTGGCGGCACCAGGAGCATCACTTGTGAGTCTGAGAGCCAACAGCTTGTTGTATGCCTCCATCCTAGCATTGCATGGGTTGAACTGCTCTGACAGTCGCTCTGTGAAGTAGTGCCAATCATTGAACAACCTTCCTTCTCTAGCTCTATCAATACGGAGCTTGGAGGTCCACCACTCTCTTGCTGTCCCTTCCAGTTGAGCACCCATGTGATTGATCATCCTAGACTGCTCATACACCTGGTTGAACTTAAACCATGCTTCGGCTTCTAGAATGAAGATCTCCATGTCTCGGGGATTGAACTTTGGAAAGGGGGTGGCGATGGGCTTTGACCGGTTAAGCTCTGCCATGATGCTGGTATCCTCCTCGTGGTCCAGGGGGTAAGGGTCCGTCCTAGTCCTGCTGTAGGGGTCCAGCTTAGTCTTGACATATCTTGGCCCAGTAGGTGAAGCATACTTCTCGTAGTTGATGTCCTCCTGCTCATCCAGGTTGAATGAGACTGAACGTCTTGGTCATGGAGCTGGAGTAGGAGTATGTGGGTCTCCTATCATAGACTCATCTCCTCCTCCTGCTTGGTCTTCTGAGTGAGAGAGGTCCATTGTCTCCTCCCTGCTCAGTTGAGCTCGTTGTAATCGTTCCTCTCGATGACCCTGTCTGGTAAGCTCTAGCTGTGCTTCCAATAGAGTGAGTAGTCTATCGAGCTTATTGTTGAGGTCTGGGTCCGTCATGGTGATTGTGAGGAGCTGCTTGAATGATCCACTCTAATGTCAGGGGTCTCGCGCCTGAAACCCAGGTCGGTCTGTCGAGATACTCGGTGACTATCAAACTGTGCAACAGCTATTGTCTCGGTATTGGTGACTATCAAGTTGTGCAGTGACAGCAGGTGGCGTTCGTTGTATATACTATCGTAGGTTTCAGCTGACCTCTGTGGACACTCCATTCAGGGGTAGCTCGGCACGATCAATATCAATGTTATGATGACACCAAGGTCTGGTGTGAGGGTTGATGATGATGAGGTTGATGGTGTTGGTGATGAGATTGGTGATGTCGATGATAATGAGGTTGATGGTGTTGGTGATAAGGTTGGTGGCGTCAACACGAGTGTCCAGTGTGTTGACTTGATGCTTGAAGTGATCCCCGGACCGCAGTGGACTACTGCCTTCGGTTCTATCTATATCTGGACCGCTAACCTGCTATGGGCGCCTTCGGATGTCAGGTAGTGGTGATACAACACACACACTACAATGAGGAGCAACCTTGATAGATTGCTGCTATGCTGACTGTAACTAATGAGTACTTGTGTTTCTAAAGTATTGACTAGTTGTATGGTGAGTAGAGTGGATGAGGATCCACTCGACCTATTGATGATGAGAAAGCATGGTTATATACCTCTTCTCAGCATCGCCAGCAATGCTGCTCCTGCTCTCTCTCCAGAGAGTACCTTCTTCATCGAGTACTGCTCAGGGGCCTCTCCTGCTTGGCACCCCTGTGCCTCTTGAGCTGTGTCGACTCCTTCGACACTGCTCCTCCTCCTCATGACCTGGTGTCAACTCCTTCGACACTGCTCCTCCTCCTCATGACCTGGTGTCAACTCCTTCAACACTGCTCCTCTTCCTTTGACCAGTGACAGTTCCTTTGACTCTTGTCTCTCGAGCCCCTGAGTGGTAACCATCTGAGCTTGGTCCTCTTCATGGCTGTGCCTGCTCCTTGAGCTTGGTCCTCTTCGTGGCTGTGCCTGCTCCTTGAGCTTGGTCCTCCTCGTGGCTGTGCTTGGCCCTTCTTTGCATGTGAGTCCATAGGAGTCCATGGTCTCCATGGAGGCTGCACTACAACCATGCTCTCTACTGATCTCGACTAGATCTTCGATACCTGTTGAACCCGTGACCCTCCTGCTTCTTGAGCATCCAGGCCCATGACATCTAGCTCCATATTCCATTCTCTACCCAATTGCTTTAATCCATATAGGCCTTTCATTAGCTTTAGGGCCTTTCCAGGGGGTACCTTCATTCCAAGTGGTGGCTTTAAGAAGATACTATGATGTAACATCAAGTTCAGGTATGCCTGTTTAACATCGACACAATCTACTTCCCAGTCTCATATGGTTGCCATGGCTAGAACTCCTCGAATTGACTGGATGGGTGCTACAGGGGCGAAAACTTCTGTGTAATCAATACCCTCTCTTTGAGTGAAGCCCCACGCCACTAACCTTGCTTTGAACTTGGTTGGGATTAGGTTGGCATCCGTCTTTATCTTTAGTACCCAACACATGTCGATGGTGTTCATACCCTTCGGGAGATTGGCAACTTCCCATGTGCCCATGGCCTTAAGCCCATCCAGCTCCTTACACATCGCTTCTTCCCAATGTTTCTTGTCCTCTCTGGATAGCGCCTTGCTAATGGTTGGGTCCAGGTTCTTTCTTTCATTGTCATTGGTCGCCATAAATCCATAAAGTTTATTATCATTCCATCTATTGGCAATGGTATTGTGTTCAATCACTTCCTTGGCAACTTCATCTGAGGTCTGTCCTCCATCTGTTTCATTGACATTATCCATGTCCATGTATTCCTGCAATGCTTCCTCTTCCCTCTCGTCAAAAAGGTTCTCATCTGTGTACCTCAGATCACCAAAGTCTTCCTTGTTTGTTAACACTGGTGGTGGCTGTGTAATCACTGGTCACCACTCCATCCTATCGGACCAGCATTTGGTCTCCATGAACTTTGCTGAATTGCTCCAGAAAATATTTGGTCTATAATCTGGGCTGTAGAAGAGCCAGCCTCTTCTCTCCAAACTATATCCTAGGAATATGGATGCTACGGCCTGTTGGTCGAGCTTCTTATTGTCTCTTTTAGCTTTAGGAATATTTACCCATGATAAACATCCGAACACACATAGAAGCTTCATAAGCCATTCCGGCGATCTCCCAAACATAGCCTGATATGGGACCTCACCATCTATACTCGGGGTGAGATTCATCTTGAATGCCGCGGCCCATATTGCATACAGCCAGAACCTCTTCGGCAATCATCTCTGCATGAGTAGGGCCCGCATCTTCTCACTTATGCTCCTGTTCATCCTTTCTACATGTCTGTTCTGTCTGCTATCATATCCTACTGTCATTTGCCACTCTATGCCTTTATCATGTGCCCATTCATGGGCATCGTTGCTCCTCCATTCAGTACCTTGATCAGACCGTATTGCTTTTAAACTCTTTCCTGCCTGTGTCTCTAGGTATGCAATTATTGATTTTAGCTCCTTAAAAGTGTGGCTCTTTCATAATAGAGGTCATATGTACACATACTTGCTGTGGTCATCAATCAAGACCAAAGTGCATGTGTACTCTGTTGCATGCGATGAATCAACCATCAAGTCGATATGAATGAGGTCAAGCGGAGAGACAGACCTTTCTCTGCCACCCTGACCCATTCGAGCTGCCATGCTTTTAGCTCGGATGCAATGCTCACATGTCAAAGCAGCATTTGGACTTAGGTTTACTGGGTGGTCGCCTTTTAGATGGTTGATGATGGCTCTCATTTTGTCTCGGCCTGGATGGCCTAGACGCTCATGCCATAATTGTTGTTTGGATATCTTGACTTTGTTCTCAATATGCTTGAAATCTTCATCAACACCTTCAAATAATGATGCTGATGTGATCATTGCATTTTCCTGCCATGTGTCGCCTCGGAACTCCAAAAGTCCTCACTCACGATTCTTGGTCATCTTGAGTAACATGCTGTTTGCTAGGTATATTTGCCCTCCAGTTGAATCTAGTATCACTCGTGCTCCTTCGTCTGTCAGAGAATTTGTTGACAATAGGTTAACATTGAGATGCTGAACATACAATACATTTTGGAGAGGAACATCTCCAGTGTTTGTTGATATGCTAGCATCTCCTATAGCAGTCGCTTCCAGAACCTCACTTCCAGTGGTGAGTATGCACTTTTGGCAGGTCCTCGGACCAATGAGCATGTTATAGTCGTTTACCATGTGATAGCTGGCACCTGAGTCTAAGATCCAATGAGAAGTCTCTTTTGAATCTAAAGTGCTCGGCCAACTATGTGTGAGGGAGCACCAGATCTCCTATTTGAGCCTGGCAAGGGGAGAATTTTCTGGTATAGTCACTGATGCATCACATTGACTGATCCCATGTCCATGTCTTTTGCAGACCCAACATCGAAGCCTTTGGGGTCTGGCGGCGACCTTGGTGCTGGTGCTGTCGGCATCCTTTTCATCCTTCTCATCATCTCCGGGTGTCTCATTCTGGTCATTGCTGCTGGTGACTCTGGCACTAGCTTGGCAGGGATCAACCCTCAAAGCAGGGTTGTTCTCAATCACTGATTGCCAGATGGATAGGGCGGTGGCAAGGGCACTGAAACTAAGCTGGCTTATGGTAGCAACAGTTTCTTTGTACATTGGGTGTCGGATGGTGCACTTTTGTAGATTTGAAAACAGGGTGTCATCAGTGAATGGCTTTCCCAGTAAGCTGCTCTCCGTTTGGATGGTTCTTATTTCTTGGATGAGCTTTCATACATCTGAGTTGTACATCCTGAGTTCTCCTAGCTGAGTGATCAATGCAATATGACGAGATATGGCAGTGGCCTCATTGGTGAGTCCATTTTCAATCTCCTTCCATACATTATGGAATGTATGATGTTCCCTGATGATGTCAAGAATCAAGTAATTTATGTTAAACTCTCCAGTGGTATCGATGGTACTGCGTAGTGCATTCGTTAAGGCATCATCGAACATGTGGTTCCACTTGGGATGTTTCTTGTCATATGCTCCATCGAGATGCTTCATAGCATGGGGGACACATCATAGGAAAGACTTGATATGGGCACTCCAACTATAGTAGTTGTGTGATGTGAGTTTTGGAACTGGCTCAAGTAGCTTTGCTAGGGTATGAAAGTTGTATTGCTTGCCATCATTGTCATCGTGGTTCGAGTCAGAGTCAGTTTCTTCATCAGCATTGTCGTTGATTGCCTTGGTGTCTGACTCGTTGGTGGCCTCATTATCAGCGACATGCAGTTGTGTTGCCTTGCCCTTTCTTCCTCCTTTGACCTTGCTTGCTACGGCTTGAGCTTCAGTTTCTTGTACCATGTTATTGATGGTCCCGGCTAGCTCAGTTGGTAGAGCTTCAGACTCTTAATCAGTTGAAGATTTACAGGTAAAACACAACTGTTTAGGAGCTACTAGCAAGCTCAACTTTTCAGGCGTATAACAGTTGTGTGTCTTTGTTAATTGATAGGTGCTACAATGTGAACATATATATACTTGATTGCTATCTTCAGCCCATACTAGATCATAATGAACTATTTTTCATATCACCCCAGTGTTGTCGCCTCCTGAGCATTGCCATCTCCTGAGTGTTATTGTTGAAGTACTTATATGTCCCACATGCATATCGATGCATGTTGACATGCAGCTCTGACTCACCAGTGTCTCGCTTGTGCTCCGCAAACCACGTGGTTCAGTTTAGGATGCCGACGCATCTTCAACTACAGCACAGTGCAGTCGAGCCAATCCGAGCGCGGATTTCAAGGATGTTAGGCCAGGATTGAGTCCACAATCACTCGATTTTTTCTTCCTGCTGCGAACAAGTGGAGAACAACACCCGTCAAAAAATACATTCACCATAGTGTTGGTCTCTACACTTCTTTCATCTTTCACCCACCTGCGCCAACTCGAACGTCACGACAAAGGGACAAAACACGCTATAGTGTCTGAGCCGTGCGACTGTATCAAGGGCCTGCTCTGATCGCAGCTTACAGTCGCAAAAGGAGCGGGCGAAACAGCCACTGCACGGACCTGGTCGCCTGTCATGCCACCTCTGTAAGTCTCATCTTTTTCAACATCATCTCGACGTCTCTGCAGCAACACCATCACACCTGTTGAAACTTTACAGATACATGCTGAACAACCGTTGCGATCATGTCGCTGCTTCGAGCTCTGCAACGTCAGGGCGTGCTCTCTGACCTGCCTCTTCCTTCTCGTCCTCCTCTCGATGGCGTCGTCCGTCTTATCCCACAAACACCCACTGACTCCTCTGCCGGCCTACCACCCTCCTCCTCCACCTCCGATGCCTTCTTTTCCACCTCCTCAACCACCACTCTCGCATCAACTTCCCCCTCCTTCTCCTGCAGACGAGACAACCTCACAGTAGGCACCCGTGTCATCATCGCCCAAGACGCAGACCTTCGAGGTGAAATTTCTGTAGGGAGCGGCACACTCATCCACCCCAAAGCAACTATCCTGGCCCTTCAAGGTCCCATCTCGATCGGCTCGAATTGCATTATCGAAGAGACTGCCATCATCGTCAATCGCAAATCTACGCCTATCAGGATCGGCGACAATAACCTCTTTGAAGTAGGATGTCGGGTGGAAGCGGCTTCGGTCGGGTCGTACAATGTTTTTGAGATGAGAAGTAGGGTGGCGCAGAATGTCAAGGTTGGGTCGTACAGTGTAGTGGGTGCAGGGTGTATGGTGCTGCCTAAGCCGGTGAGCGATACTCAACTGCAGAGTTTATTCGACAATGATGATGATGAGGAGGAGGCAGAGTCAATACGAAAGCTCAGCACAGATGGAGAAGGGGTAGAGAATGGTGCAGAAGAGGAGAAGAAGGGGGAACAGGGAGAGGAACAAGTGTTTGAAGAGCTACCAGATCAAACCGTAGTATATGGAGCAGATAGCAAAAGAAGATTGTGGAGCGGACAAGGTGCACAGCAGCAAGCAGCGTTGCATGCAAAACATCTCGATTATTTGAGAGATGCTATTCCACGCGCGCACAAGCTCAAGATCATTCAGGGTGTCAGAGCTTCGAATCCTGCACCGGCGTCGCAAAGCACAATACAGACACAATAATATTGAGCCCCAACCGGGCGACTCTTTTGTGTACCAAGACGTGGTGAAAGCGAGGAGAAACACCTTTCGTGCGTGCGAGCGAACAGCGTCAAAGCTTTGAAGCATTCAGGCCAAGTCGGCAGCCAACAGGATCGACTCTGCGCCGATATATGTGAAGCTTCTCTCTATCTCTCTCTCTCTCTCTCTCTCTCTCTCTCTCTCTCTCTCTCTCTCTCTCTCTCTCTCTCATGTATGCATTTCCGCTCCAACAAAGGTTAGAAATGCTATTCCAGGGAGCATTAACCTGCAATGTATGTTAAAGCCAACTCTCGAGAGACAAAGAGCGAATAGTGTGAATCTCGATTTGCGTGTTTGGTGTGACGCGCCCGATCCCGATCCTGATCCCGATCTTGATCTTTGACTCGACCCGAAGTTGGGAGCGAGCAAAGGTGGGGCACAGACTCTGTCGCTCTGGCCTCGAGAATTCTGACACCTTGTCATAGCCCCACCTCACCACCACTTCTTTATCGACCGTCCTATCTCTCGCCTCGTCTGTCGTTCATTCTCTTCAGGACTACGCGCAACACCAACGCCAGACACTCGAACACTTATTACTCTTATCATCAACCGCCCCCGCACATACATTCAAAATGGCTTCAGCAGCAGGCTCCCGCTTCCAATCATTTATGAACCACCCTGCTGGGCCCAAGACTGGTAAGCTTCCCTTCCTCCCGCTTCCCCCTCTGTCCCTTCTTCCCGCACTACTAGTACCCCACTTACTAACCCTCTTCTCCCCCCTTTTGGCGAGGTAGTGTTCTTCTGGGCCCCCCTAATGAAGTGGTGCTTGGTAGCAGCAGGATTGAAAGACCTTTCTCGACCAGCCGACAAGATCTCTGTCTCCCAAAACGTCGCTTTGGCAGCAACCGGAATGATCTGGGTTCGATACTCTCTCGTTATCACCCCGGTAAACTACTCTCTCGCTGCGGTCAACTTCTTCGTTGGTTGTTCCGGATTGGCGCAGCTGTATAGGGTTTGGGATTTCAGGAAACAACATCCTGTTCAAGCTGCTGTGGCGGATAAGGCACATGAAGTGGGAAGTAAGGTCAGCAATGAAGCTCTGCCTATGACTACCAAGTAAACAGCCCTCCGCGAAACGCAAACGATGATGGCGTTAGTCAGACTTTCAGCACAGCATCAGCCGCACATCTTTCAATATGGGCGTGCGAGGAGGTGTGTGACCTTTCGATTTTCCGTCTCTTGTAACATATTCCATACAGCTAGCGTTTGATCCCGATGCATTGATTCGTATTCTCCCGTTTGGTTTAAACGCTTCAACAAGCCTGTAAGCGATTCTGCTTTCGAAGTGGCCTCAGTATCAGCTCAGGCTTCCTCGATAAAGTCGGAAGGTGCACGTCATACACTCACACTCGCAGCCTTTAAACGTACCAGGGCGGCAGGAAGCATCGCATCACCTCGTTCAACACTTTCATCTTGAATGCTTTCTATTTCTATCCTCTCTACGATCTCCCTCGAGTCCGATTTGCTATCACATGTTCGTCGTCGGCAACCCCCCCATCAGAGTCACATCTTCCACCGGCCCCACTCCAGTACACCTCAGCACCTCCTCCACACCTCCTTGAACCCCCTTCAGCGCCTCTTGCTCTTCAATACTCCTCGTTAGCATAAACCCAGCATAAGCTAGGGAGTTGATCGAAAGATTGCCCACTTTCCCCTCACTGCCTTCCTTCCCTGGTAGCCCTTCGAATTCTTCTTTGCTTCTTGGGATTAGATGCATGGCGCGTTTAGTGATGAGGATGTTGAAACTTGGTCTACCCTCCTTCTTTTCCCCCTCCGGCGCGAACATACGCGCGCGGAATAGAGCGTCTAGGAGACCCATGAACTTGTTCCCGATATACCTTTCCATGTCAGCCTCCTCCTTAGCTGCAGCTGGGGGTTGTAGGAGAACGACAAAGTGTTGCCAAGGCAAAGGAAGGGCGTGGACGCTGTCTTGTTCCTTTCCATCTCGCTCTATTCTATCTAGTAATACTTCCACTGGAACCTTGTATTCGCATTCGGTGATCTTTTCTTGTTCTTCCTTCGTCAATCTTCCACTTTCTTCCGCCTCTTCAGTAGTAGTGTCGAGCGGAGGACACTGTACGAACTGCAAATGGCGATGAGGCTGACTCGCACCCGACGTAACACCACAGTTGTAAAACGCCAATAATTCCGTTCTCATACTCTCCCCCTTGTGGGCTGCTACAATCCTGTACGCCAAAGCCAACGTTCCTGGCGCCGGGGGTAAATCCTGAGAAGCAAACTCGCGTGTGACCATTAGAAAGTGCTGTGGGACAACACAGAATTTGTTCAACAACACTACATGGTCTTGACCAAGATCCTTCACGTGTAGGTTCGGGACGTAAGGTGGTGCAAATACATCTTGCCTGTTCTGTTCTGCTTCGCCTTTCTGTTTCGCTTCCTCTTTGGGCGGCGTCGAATCGTTAGCTTTTGGCTTCTTTAGGAGAGCGGGTACGGTGCGAATCTGCCACAAGATCCCGGTTTTGGAAGATTCTTGAAGAGTGATTTTTTGGGAAGGATAGAAGAATGCATCGCTCTCAGTTATGGCGGTTGTGAATCGCTTCTTGACTTCGGAAGAGAGAGACTTGAGGTCTGAGTCAATGATGGACATTGTTGTGAGTGTTCTTCTAAGGAAGGGGTGCCACAGGGTGAAGAGGGAGATCGCGGGTCGGCGTAGCAAAGGAAGGAAGGGGGTGCGTGGAGCAGATAGCATGTACAGCCGGTATGCAGGTTGAGGAAAGGAGGACGAGCAGGTTGGTGGTGATCAGAAGAACCGAAGTGGGAGAACAACACCTTTGGCAACTCAAGCTCGGGATGACGGTTTGTGCGCTGAAAATTGCTCCAAATGTTAGCTCACCTCTCACCACAATTCAATTTTTTTTGGGCCGTGTTCTTGTCACTACGAGTGACCGCCTTGTTCCCTCGGCCACTCATCTCCTTCAGGCAGTATTTATACGAGCACTGTCAAGAGTGTGTAATCGAGTGCTACCAAGCATAAAAAGGAATGGAATGTGTTGAAGGTATCCTTTGCTGTTGCTGCTGCTGTTGCTGCTCCACCTTCGTTGCCCCAGTTGTGTCTGCAAATGAGTAGCTTTCGCTCCTCGCCATCGTTCCATTTTCTTCCCCAGTTGGACCTGACCGAGTGAGATGCACCTCAGTAGACCGGCTACTATCGGCCTCACCCTCATCGCCCCTGGTGGAGGGATGGGGAAGCGGACTCCTCCCACCCATCCAATTCGTTCCTTTTGGCAGCAAATCCAACGTCTCTCGACATCTCCTCTCCTTATTTACCTCCACCGGCGCTGACATATGATGCGCAAATTGAGAGGTTGTAGGAGAAGCAGCAGGAGAGCATCCAAACAGCCGTTGAAATCGATCTTCTGCCGCCGTCCTCCGTCTTTCCTCAGTTGCTGCATTGTCGGATGTGGCGAGGGTCGCAAGAAAAGACAGCCACGAGCTGTGAGAGCTTCTGCGGTCCTCCGATACTGGTTGGGCGGGGTGGGAGGTGGATAGGGTTGAGTTTCGGTCTGGATTGGCGGTAGGGGTGGTGGTGATGGTTCTTAGTGGAGTAGGTTGTCGTGCTTGGGAGGAAGTTTTAAGGAAATGATGAACTTGGAATGGATAGGAGATGCTTTCTTTGGCAACATGTGTGCGGTTTGATCGGTTGGAGTGGGTGGGTGAACTTGGGCGTAGGACCAGATCTCGAAGTTGGTGTGGTGTGGTTGAGGCTGGCTCCTTCTTCTCCTTGCGAAAGCGGAAGAAATTTGGCCACCTCTGTACACCAGGGGCAGCGGTGAGATCGTCTTGAAGCTTCTCTTCCACTTCCTCGCCCCCCACTCCCTCTCCTCCCTCTTTTACCTCTTTTTCCAGTCTCGAATCAATAAGTGTTGCGTAGAACACAACCAACAAAGCAACCAGTAGAATCGCTAACCAGATCCCAACCAGAACGAGAAAAAGGATTCTCTCGTCCCTTAACCTTTCCTTATAACCCTCGATTGCCCTCCCTACCACCCCCTTCCCCTCTCCATCCGCTCCCCCAACCAACGCCTCTCTCACCGGCCTCAACAGCACCTCACCCCTCTCCGCTCCCACCATCAGCACGTCCTCCGGTACTCTATCAAATTCCACATGCGAGTTCTCCTGAATCCAAGTGAACGCCTTTTCCACCCCTCTAACTTTTTGCCCTAATATACACTGCACGAAAGTCTGTAGTGGAGCATTAAAAGGTGTTCCGCCGAAAGTTGTGGTGAGTGCATCGGTTATGCCATCTAGAAATTCGTTAAGGGTGGTGTTCAGGGTGTTGGTTGTGGTGTTTACCCAGGCGAAGACGTGGGTGTTTAGTTCGGTTTCGATATCTGATATGATTGCATTTGTTGAGCGGGAAAATGTGGCGGATGCGTTGGCGGTGTGGGAGTTTACGAGAGATATGACGTCGGAAGAGAGATGGGTGAGGGAGGTGTCAATGTTGGAGGCGTAATTAGCTGTCATTCGATGGAGAAGGAAAGATTGCAGCGAAACCGAAAGCAACCCTAATAATCCTGTAAAGAGACATGCGAGGGACGCTGGATGAGTTAGGAAACAAACCAACCACGAAATCCTATCTTGAGCTCTCGCCGTCCTGAACCCTAGCCTACCACAAAAGGTTTGGGCGAAGGAAGAGATGAGAGGGTGTCGAGAAATAGTTAAGAGCTGGGTGAGATTCTCCTTTTCCAACACTTTGCCTTTTTCCCCTGCGTACCTTGCTAAATATACCTCTTTGGTCCTTTCCACAGCTCTCACCTCCCTTCTATACCTCCACCATTCCCAACCAACACTAACAAGCACCACCAGCATTGCAACCAGAGCTATAAAAATTAGTCCCCACTTTGCGACCCTTTCAAGTTGCATGCCCAGCTCATCAAGTGGCTCCATATTTACCCGATCGCAAAAAGTTATGTTCTCCATCCGAGGTGGTTCGAGCAGGCTATCATTGAATGTCCACCCACCCAAAGTTTGGTTCACTTCCAACTTCATCCGTTCAAACGGCCCTTGGATGATCGCATCCATCTTCTGCCTGAGCTCGTCCAGTGTTGGAAGTGTTGCATTTAGCTTTAGCAAGCCATCCTCGATCTCATGTGGCAGGGTTATATTCGTCAACGCTTGCAAATTCGGAACCGGAATATTGGGCGGGGTAATACGTTGTCCGAACACCCCTACAACATCATTTATCCCCGATATAGCTGTAGAGAGGAGAGTGTTTGCTCCAGAAACAGATTCTTGTATAGCCGCACGTATGCCTTGCCCAGCAGCAGTTATTGCTTGGGATATTAATTGGACTGCTTCAATAAGCACTGCGAGCGAGCCTCGGACTAGGAGCTCCATAAAACATAGGAATAGGGACCGGTAGGAATCGATAATATAAGTCAAGACTTTTTCGATGGCGGTTAGGGAGAGGGAAAATACGCGAGCTGCACCATGTACGCTGGATGTGATAGATTGAGATAAATGGACGTTCGCGGTTGTAGCGAGGAAGTGCGGGAGCGAGGCGGTGAGGGAAGCGACTGATTCGGCGTTGTGACATGCTGAGAGCAGGGAGGCTTTTGTCGACGCGACAGAGTCTGAGGCGTTGCGAGAGGAGGAGAGGAGACGGAATGCGACAAAAAGGAGGGAGATGAGGGGAATGGATAGTGTTGATAGGAGGAGGCGTGAGGGGAGACCGAGGAATGGCTTCAGGGTTGGTGTTTGGGGAGGAGGAGGGGCCATGGGGGCGAAGCTGTGTTGTCTGTAGGGTGGACTAGGTATTGGTTGTTGCGGTTGATATGATGGTGGTTCGTCTGTGTGTTGTTCTGCTGTGATTGGCATGATGTGATGTAAACAGCTCTGACTAATTGGACGAGAGATATGCTGATAGGTAATAGGGACGGTCAGTAACGATTGTAAGTGGTCAAAGAGTTGATATGGTGTTAAGAGCCAGCCTTGGAGGAACGTCGAGAACCGGCTGAGTAGCCTTGACGACCTTGTACAGACACCTCCCCAAGTCTACTCACCCCTTTCGACGAGACTCGAAAGGCATAGCAGTACAAAGGGGAGCTACAGCCGGCGACCCCTCCTTGCGCCTCCATCGAAGCACAAAGCTTGGCCCAAACCACACATGTCCAGAACGAGCTGTCGAGAGTCAAAGGGGTTTTGCGAAGGTTCCCTTTGTCGTTGGTAAAAGCGAAAATGCTTTGTTGGACAGCTCGGGTCATGAATTCCGTTCGTGCGTAGGGAACAAAGGGCCCATTCGTTGCCCACCCCATCACCACCATTTCCACTGGACACTCCTTGCTTTGTTCGTCTATCCTAGCTTGGCTTCTCAAACCTATGTGCTTTCGTGGGAGAAGCAGTGAGCAATCGTCGTGAAGCATCCACATGCAAGTAAGATCAATGTACCACAGCCAGGGCGCTGTTTTTTTGTTTTGTTTTGTTTTTTTTTTTTTTTTTTTTTTTTTTTTTTTTTTCCCGGAGAAGACGCACATACATATTGATTGGACCCTCCCTATATACAGCTTGGGCCGAGGCGGATTTCGAACTCAGCTGCATTCTTCCTAACAACCACCACCAAGCATCTTTCTCACCCCACACTATCCCTCCATCACCTCAGAATGCTTTCTTCTCCCGGTCTACCGCACTCAAAGCATAGCATACGATGATCACAGCTCCCCAAGCCCACACCCTCTCTTTTCAGCAAGAATGAAATCCTTCTCGGCAACCCTGACAATCGAACAACAACACATCCAGCAATGCGCATACGCAATCTTGCATCTAATCAGCTTCGACCGCTTATTGGGGACCGTAAAGCCAGCATATGTCTCTGTGTTGGGATTGCAGGTTGTAAGTCATCCTCACCCTGCCTCCTCCTACTCTTCGCTCACATCCGAGGAACTAATTCAAGCATTGCATTTTATGTGCCGCGGGTATGAGTGTAGCCAGCGATCTCAGATCCTCAACTAGACGCAATTCTTCTTTCCCGGGCTGCGGAGCTAGCTAGTTTGGTCAAGGGTTCAGAAGGGTCGAGGAAGGTGGAATTGAAGGTTGAATTCAGCATACCCACTCATCCGAAAGCACGCACAAGTGGGGGTGGTGGTGAACATAAGGGAGCTGGAGAGGCTGGAGGAGGTGGTGTAGGGGGGATGGCAACCAACGCAGCATCCTCGATAAGAGCTTGGGCAACTCCGTGGTTAGCCTCAGCTTTTTCTGGGGGTGTTGGACAACCCGCACACCCATACACTTGCTCTCCTACACCCATTCCTGAGGGTAGTGAGGTGTTTGAATCTTGGTCTATAACTTTCCAGCCCTCCTCTCCAAAAACACAAGACAGCTCACAAGAAGCGCAAAAAGAACTCGCACGAATCACAAATCAAATCCTAACCTACATCACCAACCACAACTCTCATCTGCCAACCACATCCTCACCCTCACCCTACCCCTTTCACATCTCGCTTCACACTACACCCTAACGCAATCTACTACAATTCTCATGTCTATATCATAGCCACAACTCTTTCTCAACCCGCGCTAGAACCTTTGGCAACCTTGCCTTATACAACGCAGTCAACGTTTCTGTTTCTCTCCATAATTTCTTCCCATCCTTCTCCTCCCCTTCCACCGGTTCCATATCTAAATCAATGAGAAGAGCGCTCTGTTCGCCACCATAAGCGCGACTAATCCCTGTATCTATGAGTAGAATACCGGTATCGCATCTTGTGACGAATCCGTCAAAGTGTGGTGTATGGCCCATTACGAGATGTCGTACTCCCAATCTCTCCCTTGCTTGTTGTGAGGTAGTGCAAGCGAAGGGTTCGGCGTCGGTTGCATAGCCACGGTACCACAAGGGGCCGTGCTCTGACCAAAGATGTTGCTCCTCCTCTGTCGTGTTTCCTGGAAGTGACGAAGAAGGGTTTTGCTCTGATAGTCCTTTGAGTAGAAATCTTTTCCCGACCTTATTAATGTAGTCTACACCCTTGCTAGCGTACTCGGGAGTTATGCCTCCATGAACAAACGACATCTTTGGCGGCTTATATCCCTTCGGCAAGCCAGGATGTGATTCGGGTAGAAGCGAAACAGAAGCGGTGACGTTATAGTTCTCTAGCCAATCTCGTCCGATCCAACCCTGATCAGAAATAGCATGTCTTCGTTCCATCAGCCCACCAAACGACTCGATATCTCCTTTAGTAACGTACCTCCAATCACCAATCCCGTTCATGACTTCATGATTCCCCAACAAATTCACTACCTCTCCACCAGCAAGAGATGCTTGTGTGCGAAGAGAGATGAATAGCTGGTAGAGGGGGATCGTGTCGTCGCCCCTATCAACTATGTCTCCGGTTGATAGTAGGACATCGTGCCCTCCGGTCCATGCTACTGAGAAGCCGGAGGCGGAGGAGAATGAATCGGAGGCGCCGGACATTGGTGTAGTAGAAACGACTCCAGCCATGGACAAAACGTTCAATGCATGTTGCAAATCCCCATGTAAATCAGCAACAGCTATTGTTCGACGTGAAATGCGCATCCTCCCATCCGCCAGAGGAGAGGTTGGACCGGAGGATCCATATGTGTGACCCTTCTGCATTGGAGAGAGAGCAAGGTTCGGGATGGCGCTGGTGGAATAATAGTATCGATAGGAAGAGTAGAAAGCCATTGCTATCAATCCGTATAGGATGAAGCGTGGGGCTGGGGAAATAGGTGGCATCCCTGCTGACTGGGGTTTGATGCGATTGAGTTGGGGCGGAGAGCTGGTTTTCCTGGTGAGTGTTGCTATTGGAGGTGGTGCTTCTACCGTTATGAGCAGTTACGTGCAAGATCGTTCTGATGTATGCTAGTGGTTGGTGCCGTGAAACGGGCGCAAGGTGCTACGGGAGCGAAGGAAGTGTATGCCTCTGAGTAGTCACTGGTAGTTTTGTGGACAGCGAAAGTGCGTGTTCTTGAAGAAGCCTTCCAGTCGACCAGATCAAGGAGACTCCTGTAGCGGATTCAAGAGAAATATGTGCAGAAAGCTGCACCCAACACCAGCTCCAAGTCCAGCTGTCGAAGGTTGAAACGATGGTCAGTTGTGGTCGGAAGGAAGAACCAAGGGTCCTCAACACACGTGTTGCTGTCACGTCTGGTCACTTTCTCGTGCGAATACATGCCGCACGAGAGAGTTCGGATTCCTATCGTTCCTTTGTACGGACTCCCTCTAGATCCTCCTTGCCGCATTCCACTTGGTCACTCCCTTACAACGTCCATATAGCCTGCACATGTAACAGTTGCTCTCTCAAAACGAAAATATAAGGCTCGTAGTTAAAAATTATAGACACCACTTTGTTGAGGCCACGATCAGGCTCCCTTCGTACAGGTGTGTAGCAACTGCAATGCCTATCGTATTCAAGTGGACTAAGGCTACAAACATGAGTATATATATCTTTACATCGTCTCTGAGAATATCGAGCAGCCTTAGGTGAGTCGAGTGTCTTTCCTGCAGAGCTCCTGAGCCGTTGTCAAGTCAACCTTGATGCATTTCACATGCCTGAGTCAACTCGTGAAGAAGCGGGCGTTTGCTTGCACCAGCTTCGCCCTGTCGGCATTCTGGATAAACCCTGGAAATTTTCCGACGTCTCTTCAACTCTCGTGCACGCGCCGCCCGCTTGCAATGCAATCCTCTCAATTCTCCCCACCCCACACACATCACACAACCGACGTCAATACGGATGATGAAAAGCACTGTCAAATTGCTCGGTGACTAATACCAACAAGATGTAGGAAGAAGGAAAGTGAATGGCAAAAGAGTGACTATTGGAGTTGGACCTAACCAGAGTGATTGTTTTTCAAAAGAGTGTGTCTGTGTCTGTGTGTGTTGTGTGACCGGTGAATAAAGAAAGTGACCCTGAAGAGAATGTAGCGAGTGTATGTGTGTATCTACGCTAGAGTAAGGCACAAAGGAGTGTTATTAGAGGAAGCCAGTGTGGAGGTGATGATGTTCGAGTCGAAGCGAGGAGGCGAGAGAGTCCATTTCGGCGCAAAACTTGGGGTATAGCCCTCTGCCCAGTCACTGTAAAGCGAGCGATGGACAAAGGTTCTGAGAGCGAGCGGGAGGTGTGGTGCTCAACGATGTGAAGCAGTCTCAAAAAACGTCGTGAAACGCTTGATCTTCTTCAATCGAGCTTGATGTTTGTTCTCTTCGCTTCCCGACAGACTCGGTGAAGCAGCAGAACGACGGTTCAATTCGGTGTTCGAAGATGCGGAGAGAGCTGACAGCCTTCCACTGGGAGCTGAGAGTTTGGCGGCTGCTTTCTCGATCGCATCTTTCTCGCCCTCGCCTTCTTCTTGAGTTGGAGAAGCGGTGATGGTGGTGGTGTTACTGGGCGCATTGGCACGAGCAACCGTGTTAAGACTGCTAGCTGTTGTAAGCTCGCCAGTGGAAGCTTTCGAACGCATCGATACACCGCCGCCGCCTTGACCGTTACGACGTTTACCGAGACGGTTAAAGGGGCGGCTGGAAGTCGAAGAAAGAGACGAGGATGGCGGGATACGAGAAGATTCTTGACGTCGCAACAAACGATAAGTGTCAACTACGCCACGAGCAAAGAGGTTGGTACCCTTGCCGCCATTCAGCTCAGACTTTAGAACGCCATCAGGACCGGAGAGTTCGACCATGTCCCAATCGTCGTCCTCATCACTCTCACGAATAGCACCATTGCTGGGACGTCCGACGGCAGAGGGAGCCATCTTGCGTGGAGCTGCGGATCGACTGGCGTAGGAGCTGGCGGGTGAGCTTTGGACTTGACTTGCTCCTGAGTGATCACTCTGCGAGTCGGAGGTGTTGGTAGTGCCATCGCGGCTGTGAGATTGGGCGGGGTCGTTCTGGATGGCGCCTGCCGTAGAGGAGCCGGCGATCGAGACAGCCTCCATACTGGCCTCGTGTTCCAAATGAGCAAGCACAGCAGCAGCAGCACGAACTGCAGCTTCGTCGTCTTCCTCTTCGGCAATCGAGACGTCGGCGATCAAAGGCGGGGAAGGTTGAGGGGGTGCAGTTGTAGCAGCAGTACTGGGCTGTTGTCGCTCCACTTGCGCAGCTGACTTACGATCAGAGGCAACAGCACCAGCAGCGACACCAGCTACAGCAGTCGTCAAAGTGGCTGATGATAAGCAAGGCTGATGCATGGTCTTCTCTGACCCAGCCGGCTTGACAGGTGATCCCGGCACGGCAGCGGCAGCATCGATGACACCATCATCCGGCTGATCAGTCGATAGAATGGAGATGATCGACTCCGAGTCCTTTCGCCCTCTGAACGAGTAGCCATCAAACAAATTGCTATGTTCCGACGCCTCCCTGTCGTCCATGCTCTGATCCGGTGTCGCCGCAGCCACCGCACCGCCTTGACTGAAGGGAGCATCTGCAGTGATGAATCCATTCTCTGCATCACCGGTGCCACCTTCTCCTGTAGCTACTGCCGCTGAGTCGGTGCTGGCGTCGACCTCATGTGCAACAGTCGGCTGCATCTCCAAGAAAGTCTCGTCGAAGTTCTGAGTGTCAATCTCGTTATCAGGATCGATGGGCGGGATGTAGGGTGGGATGTATCGCTTATGGAAAATGTGGTCCCACTCGATCATGCTGAAGTAGGGGTGCTTCTTAATTCGAGGCTCCTTCATACGCAGCTGAGGGTTCCTCTGCAGCAAACCACGAAGGATGCTCTTTGTGTCCTGATCGAGCACACGGTCTTCAGGGAAGACGAGGGGATCTCGAAGCACCTTGGCATACATGTCGGCATGCGTGTCGGCCCAAAAGGGAGTGATGCCAGTCAACATCTCGTAGAGCATGGTTCCAAAACTCCACCAGTCGACCTCGTACGAGTAGGGCTGCCCTTGAAGCACCTCGGGAGCCAGGTACTCAGCAGTGCCGCAGAAAGTTGTGGTCGTCTCGCGTTCGTCCATCCAGCGAGTGGAAGGAGATCTCGAAGGCAAGTCTGATACATCGTCTGAAGCCGACATCCAATGAGGTGATCTGGACTTGGGCACGTTGGTGCTCGAGTGCGAGCGACCAGGCGAAGTGGGAGGAGGCGTGACACTGCCAATGGAACGGTTGCGACTGCTGAACTCTTTCGAGAGACCAAAGTCTGAGAGCACAATGTGACCATCGGCACCGATAAGCACATTCTCGGGTTTGAGATCACGGTAGATGACACCGGCCTTGTGTAAGCCTTCGACACCTTCGACAATCTCAGCAGCATAGAAGCGTGCACGATCCCTACCGAGACGACCCCATCGCGAGAGCTGTGTTGCCAAATCTCCACCTGGATGGAAGTCCATGACAAGGTAGAGGTTGTTGCGATCGTGGAAGGACCACCAGAGACGCACCACAAAGGGATCGAGCACATCCTTGGCCATTCGCTTGAGGACAGCTTGCTCTGTCAGCGTGTGCTGCAACTCTTGGTGTGCCAGCACGTGCCTCTTGTGGATCGACTTCATGGCATAGAGACCACGCGATGACGAGTGTCGCACGAGCAAGACTTTGCCGGCACAACCTTTGCCAAGGACGCGAATCATCTCGAAGTCATTGACGGTCACCTTGTTAGAGCCTTTGCGACGACGGTGAGAGCGGTTACGATTCGACTTATCTACACCACCTTGCCTTTCGGTATTGGCTTCCTCCGAGTCGTCAGCATTCTGCTCCTCGGGGATCATCTCGATGTTGGTGTTGGTAGAACGGCTGTCATCAGCAGGAGCACGCTTATCAGATGAGGCAGTGTCCATCGAGCCAGATGGTGATGTGACAGTAGCACGGCTCAGTCTTCCTGCTGGTGTGGCCGAGGCGCGTGAGGACTCGTCAGCAGAATCGAGATCCAAGTCGTCTTCAGTGGGAGCACCATCTTCGAGATCAGATTGAGCCGGAGCGAGGCCTACATTGGTGTTTCTGGGTGCGACGGAGGACATGACATGCTCGGCGAGATCGCTGCGTACTTTGCGAACGCGGCGTTCCACTCGAACACTCTGGAAGTCATCGGCGTCAACACGAACAAAGCGCTTCCAAGCCTTGTGCTCTCGTGTGACAGGCTTGTTGGCGAGAGCAGTAAAGTAGGTGGCGAGTTGAGTTGTGGTGGAGTGGGATGCAAGCTTGGACATCTCTTCCGGCTGAGGCGAGAGTGGAGCTGAGGGTGGCGGTGATGCAGCATCAAAACCACTGTCGCCAGGTGCAGGCGAGGTAGGCTCGCCAGCAAAGTTGGCGAAAGTGGCACGACTCTTGGAAGCGCCGGGGGACAAGGTACGAGAGATGGTCTGGAAGAACTTGCGTCCACTGAGCTGGGGTGCAGATGATGTAGGCAGAGCAGGCAAGGCGGGAAGGGAAGTGTTGGTTATGCTTTCACGAATCTTGCTGTCCATATCGGTGATATGGTTGGCGGAGCGAATGAGGGTCAGGTTGTGTGTGGGTGTTGTGACATAAAGGGCGTAGGTGGCAAGGACTTGTTTGCGCTTTCGCCCTTCCCGCTTGTCCTTGGCTTCGGCTACACTGATGCTCCACGGACCATCAGCATTCCGACCGAGTGCAGCAGCAGCTGCAGAGTCTGTCAAGCCGGCATCGGCGTCAAGGTCAGGCAGCCTTGGACTGGCATTGAGCGAGGTAGAGTTACCATGTTGGTCAAAGAGACCGCGAATGCTGGTAGGATTGCTGGCCGAGTTGCCAGAAGCACCATTTTGGCTAGGACCGCGCGATGAGAGCTCTCTCAAGCCAGCAAATGTGCTGAACTTGTTGTGGCTAGTGATAGGAGAAGCAGGGCTGGCGGGATTGGCCGCTTGAGCTACCGAGGTCGGCATTGTGAAGGAAACCTGCGCTGGTCAATGACAGGTGCTGAATGGCAGGAAGGGGGCTAAGAGTGGGTCAAGAAGGGGGATGCAGAATGCAATGTAGAAGCTGGCGAGCGCGCAGTGATGAATGTTACGGAAAGACGTGGAAGCCCACACCAACTTGGAGGTCGATATGCTAGCTTGGCGGAAGTTCAAAGAGCCAGATGCATCAAGAGTCGAGAGAGAGAAGGCTCGAAGACGGACGAGCTGGAACTGGAACTGGAGCTGGAGCCTGAATGCAGCGCGGGGCCAAAGCGGATGAGAGAAGAAGCTCGGGCAAGATCGAGGAGGGAAACGCAATGAGAGGTATACGAAGCGGCTGGAAATGCAAAAGGTGGTGAAGCGCTGAAGGTATCGAACGGGGTCAAGAAGGAAGCTGAAACGGTCGGTCTGTTTGGGCGATGAGATTGGTAAGCAAACAGAGCTTGAATCGCTGCGGGATTGTTGATTGGAAAGAGGCGAGTCGGGTCGATGAGAAAGGGTGATGAGCAGCTCTGGGCGCTTGCTTTGTATTGGTTTGCAGGCCCGCTGGAGCTCGTCCCTTTGTGTTTTGAGACGGTGTCTGAGAGGGCGGGTTGAAGAAGATGCTGGTCTGTTGCAAATACCAAAGAGGAAAAAAAAAAAAATGGCAAGATAGAGTCGGAGAAGGGGGCGGCGAGGATGGTGAGATGAAGGGTGATGAGGATTGACTAATGAGGATTGACTGATGAGAATGGAGAAAGGCAATGCGTTGCGTTGCGTGCAGTTGCAATCAAGAAAGCAGGAGCAGAGAGAGAGAGAGAGAGAGAGAGAGAGAGAGAAAGAGAGAGAGGCAGAAATGCGTGTGTATGATTGTGATTGTGAAGAGACAAAGGGGCTCGAAGCAGGCAGTGTGTGAGTCTAGGCGAGAAATAATAAATGATTGAGATTCGGGCCGTAGGTCACAGTTCTTTCGTTCTCCAAAAAGTGTGTGGGCAGATGGTCAGTCAAAAGAGCGGGCGCAAGCTGCAAAAAAAAAAGTGGCCTGAGCTGCCAATAAAATCAACACACACACACACACACATACATACATACGCCCAGCAGCAGCAAGCAGAGAAGCGCAGTGCAGTCGCTCTGTCTCACACACACACGCCGTCCACACTCTTGACTCTCTCTGCTCAGAAGAAATGCTTTTCCCCTTCTCCTTAACTTGGCGTCTTGGTCTGGGAGATATTGTCAATCTGAACGCAATTCGGCACCGTTTGCCGTCCCTCGAGCCATCTATCGTTCTCGCATCCTTTGAAAACACCTTTCGAGAGTCGATCGGGAAAGGTGGCTCTGTTGCAAGGCAATGCATCGATCCAAGGTTCAAAGGGGAGAACGCGGAAGAAGAGCGACAAAGTCAAGTGAGATGAGATGCGGAAAGCGGACGGCATCCTTCCATCTTGATTCGCACTCTCTCTCTCTCTCTCTCTCTCTCTCTCTCTCTCTCTCTTTCTCTCTCTCTTTTGACTGGCCTGGCTGATGCACTGCGTTGCCTTGCGTGTGGGCGATCTAAAGTGCATTCACGATCAAGAAGGGTCTGCAGAGGTGCAATCGGTCGGTCATCATTCGGCCGGTCGAAAAGCTTGTGTCCACGCTTGCGGCAAGACGGTAGTGATAAATTAACGCTGTAGAGATGTATGAGACTGAGAGGGCAACGTGAGATCTTGGCTTGCACCTGTTGTTCTCCTCTTCTCTGTGACGCTCCTTCTGAGCAAAGCTTTGATATTTGCAACCAGCCTGGCTTCAGCTATGCTTCCATGTGGGAGATCGCGCCTTGCGAGTTGGCTTAAGATAGCAAGTCTTGGTCAAGTCGATCACGCTCAATCCGCCGGTCAGAGAGCCTTCCCTGCGGAAATGCCTCTTTCCTTCGCCTCGGATGTGTGACAAGCGAGGCGAGAGAACAGATTGTCGCTTTTTCGTCGCTTTTCTTCTTCTTTTTTTTTTTCGCACCAAAAATAAGGTTTTGAAATTCGTGCCAAAATTCCTTCACTTTCTATAATCACACTTCTGTGCACGACGCATGCATCCAACCCAAAGCACGCCTCTCTATCATCACACTTGACTCACATCACATCTTCAAACTGTCACTGAAGCGTTTTGGAAATCGCCGAGAGTAGCAAGTATACAGAACGTGTGAGAGAGAAAGAGTTGCGACTGACGACAACAAAGACCAAAGCAAGGGAATGTCTCCCTAACAGGAATCTTCCCTTCAACTAACTGGAGCGATGGGTCCAAGGAGATATATAAAGGGCGCATCATCAACGACGCTGTCCATGTTGCGCCACCTCAAAACCCATCCAAAGCAGAAAGACAACTGGTATCAGCATCGCCAAAGCTTTCGCCGAACAGCTTCTTTTGTCTTCCTCTCGCCTGGTCTCGCTCCCATTCTCGATCTCGTTCGCGCTCCAACTCGCGCTCTTTATGCATCTTTTTCTTCATCCGCTCCTTCTCCTTCTTCTTGTTGCACGTACACATGGTGGGCAAATTGACTGATTCCAAGTGTGGCGACTCGGAACAGCTCTCACCTGGAGAGTTGGTCGATTCGCGTTCGTGCAACGCGTCCTTAGCGATCGCCAAGTGTGAGAGTACCATTCCATCTCGAGACTGCGAGCGAGATGTGCCAGAGGTCCACTCGTCCATGCTCAACGATCGTACACTAGCCCGCAGCTGTGAGATGGATGAGCGCGAACGAGAAGCGTCCTCATCTTCCATCTCGGACACTTCGGCCGAGCTGGTCGGATCACGATGATGACCGAACCCCTTCTGCGCCTCAGAGCGAGTAGTGGCTGATGATGCTTTGAGTTCGCAATCCATCTCGCTCTCAGCATCCGTCATCTGTGCTGAACCCCCCGAAGAAGTGGGAGCCGAAGAGTCTGTGCTTGACGCCTTGATGCGCTGTCGCAACGATCGGCAGAACCGACACTTGCTCGACTTCTTCTTGGCATGTCCATCTCTGCTCAGCGATCGCACTTGCAGCTTGTTCGAGTCATCTTCATCAAGATGATCCGCAACAGCATTTTCGCGCTCACCGAAACTCGATCGCATCCTCGGCGACATGCGATGCGAGGGCATCTCTTGATGGTGGAAGCTGGGTCGACGAGACGAATCTGGCGTTGTTGCTTCCGACATCGAAATCTCGCCGCTCGAAAGTCCACCAAAGAGACCAGCTGTAGTTTGAAGCGGCATGTGCTTTTGCTCCCAGTTGACCGTGTGCGCCGTCTCAACAGAAGACGAGAAGTTGGCCTCATCTGCACAGTCGGTGTTCTTGGGCATGTTGAGTTCATGATCCAAGTCATCAACTTCATTGACCGACACTTTGCCCAGCTTGGATCCGCCGTTGGGTTGCTGCTGTGCCAAGGGCCGAGAGCCAGGTCCGGAAGAGGTAGCTGAGCCATTCTTCTGCTGGTGGAAACTTTCGACCATTTGCTCAAAAGGGCCCAGCTCAGGGCTGGTGCAGTTGCTGCTGATCCAGCTAGTCTCGTTGCCAGGTGACTCGGTGTCATCGCAATCGCCATCGCTGCTCAGACTGCTCCAAGGGTCGACCGAGGAACATCGCGAGGAGAGAGGAGAAGAGGTGATACCCACAAGACCAGACCAGCCAGGAGACGATGCAGAGGCGCCGTTGTTGCTGCCACTGCCGATGCCTGTACCATTCAATGCTGCCGTAGTCGGGTGAAGGCTCGAGATCCGCGAGGCATCCTTTTCAGCCGTCCTCCTTTCCAAGCCTAAGCGACGTGGCGTCGACTGTGCACTGGCGTCAGCAGCGTTGACCAGGATAGGCACTGGCTTGGCCCATGTTGGACTGCCAAGACCATTTGTTGTCAGGACAGGCTGTGTCCTGCGAAAGTCGCGCGTTGCTTTCCATGCCGATTCGGTGGGAGGAGATGCATCTCGCAACACTTCCATAGCATTGTGTGCATTCTCAGATGCCAGTGTTGCGTCGATGGACGACGCATTCGTTTTACGTTGCTCTGCTGCAGAGTCCGAGCCGACAGCAAAATAGTTGACGCTTGACAGGGCACCTATTGACTTGTGCAGGCTGGGGCTGGGCATGGGCGTGGCATCGGGTGAAAAGTTGCCCAAGGCCAGAGGAGTGGTTTCAGCGCTGGAAACAGTCTCCTGTGAGGAGAGGGGAGCGAGGACGAAAGTGACCTCGGGTGCCAAACTGTTTTGAAGACCACCAAAGGAACGAAAGCCGTGGACTGGCAAGCTGACCTTCTGAGACGAGACAGGCGATTGAGAACACGGCGAGTCGAGACCGAGAGCAGATGCCTGCTGCAGTGACGACAAAGCTGAAAAGTGGAGCGACCTGCCACTAGCCATGAGACCCGACTGTTGCTGGCGAGGCTGATATCCGATGGCGGCGGTATCCGTGCCATTCTTGATGCATGCCCAGTTCTCCAGGGAGGGATCACGGAAGAAGCCAACATCGGGAGCAGGCTCTTCAGCCGACTCCATAGCGACATAGCCATCGTCAGTAGAAGAGGCGTCCTCGTCGTTGGCATCATCACCGTTGTAAGACGAGCAACGAGGAGGGAGACTCATGTCGAACTCGGATCCTCCCTGTGTGCACTTGATAGGACGACGGTCATACGATTCGCCTGAGAGGACATAGAACTCTTCGGGAGGTAAATCGTCGAAGTGGACATGGCGAGAGCTGTCGTGCAAGACGAGGCTGCGGGGAGGAGCAAACGATGTTGGCAAAGAGTTCGATGCAACACAGTCCTGGATGGGAGCGGGCTCGAGTCGGCTAGCGGCCAAATTGGTGGTGATCGACGAGATGGGCACTGAGGCCTGTCGCTTCAAACATGGTGCACGAACACAGGTGGCGGTGCGAGCGGGAATAAGGTGATGACGGATTCGGTCCACTTTGGGTGAGAGCTGAGCAGCTTCGACAGCGGGGAGCTCAGGATCAGCATCGGCAGTGTCGATCGGTGTCAAGATGGAGGTGCAAGTTTCGATGCGAAGCTCGTTTGGAGGAGCAGCTGGAAGCAAAGATGACTCCATGGCGAGCGAAGAGGTGCGAGAGACCCGACAAACGTCGACGCAAGAGATGAGAAGCGGTGATGATTGCTGGTGTCGTTTCGCTCAAGGAAGAGTAGACAGCGACTTGATGCGTTGAAAGCGGTACGAGCTGATGCGTGCGGCTAAGGCGAAAGGCACAAGGCTTTGTCGAGATGTTCTCAGAAGCAAGACAAGTGCATCGTGCCTGTGTTACAAATGTCGTGGGATCAAGGTAGGTCGAAATTGTTATGCTTTCGGCACGTCACGACGGCAAGGAGGAGGAGTGGTAATGAGAATGCGAAGGAAAGGTTCTTGAATGCTATGCAAAGGGGATTGGGGGGAAGAGATCAAGCTTCAGAAGCCGTAGCTATTTGGTCGGCGTCACAAATCGTCGGACATGGTGGGCGGTGAAGTGTCGATGACGGGGCAACAGGGGCTGTGGGTGATGAATGCGAGGTGATGAGAGAAGCCTCAGGGCGACCGGAGGACAGTATGAGGCAAGGAAACCGATTTGAGCCAGTTGATAGTCGCCCGACACTAGCAGGTCGATTTTTGCGGATGCTGCGGTTGTTGTTGTTGTTGTTGTTGTCGTCGTCGTCGTCGTTGTCGAAGCGCGAAGAACGCGAATCGTTTGTCGACGTCGATAGAAACAAACGAAGGATGAGATAGGAGGAGCCGGAAGGTGATGTTGTGAGGGAAAGGTGAGGTGAGATGAAGTAGGCTGAGAAAAAGGAGCGACAATGCGAAGAGCTCTCGGAGGGCCGCCGACAAAAGGAGGAGGCATCAATCAATCGATGGCAAGCATTTACACACACACACACACACACACACACACACACACGCGGAGAGAGGCACACGAGAACCAACTCACAGAAAGCGATTAGTCAAGGCAATTGGCATCGACGGCAGGGATGTGTGCGGCCAGGTTTGCTTTGAATTCGAAACAACCGCTTCGGGATATGAAAGATGGGCTAGAACGTCTGGCCGAATTTTGCGCCGTTCTGCCATCAGATCGTGATCTTCGAAAGTGGGTCAGCCCCCGATCGATTTTTTTTCTTCACAGTTGGCTGTTACACCCTCTTTAAGTTGAAGTTTTCGTATGATTGATGATGATGGTTAGAGAGAGAGAGAGCGAGAAGTGAGAAGGAGTCTATATATATACAAAAGAGGAGTGGCAGAGAGCCGCATTGACTGCAGAGCAAAACAAAGCATTTGTCTTGAGTAGGTTGTGACACATGTGGCCCATGCTTGGATGCTCAAGCCTTTTACTTGGCCATAAGCACTACCTTCACAGTCTCTACACTTTGTGTAGCTTTTATCTACTTCAACTCTCCCCCTCAACAGCATATGTACCCTGTTCATTATGCTGTTGTTTCAAGGTGTGTCCTCCATTCTTTAACACTGTCGCATAGCTTGGGGACTCCATTTCATATGTTGCTGCCAGTATTTGCAGGTGTAGCCCAGATCTTGCTTGCTGCATTGCCTGTCTCCCGATTGGCTTTGTGAGTGCATCTGCCAGATTTCTTGTGGTGTCCATGTACTTGATCTGCACCCTTCCCTCTTGGACATTGTTACAGACAAAGTGATACTTGGTGTCGATGTGCTTAAGCTTCCAGTGCTGTGCTGGGTCTTTACTAACCTGTATGCAACCAGTGTTGTTTGAGTAGACCATCAGGGTGCCTGTGGCAATGCCAATCAAGCATAGCAGCTGCTTGAGGAAGAGCACCTCACATGTTGCTTCTGTGGCTGCAATGAACTCTGCCTCGATGGTGGACAATGATATGCATTTTTGTGTTGCTGACTTCCAGGCTACCAGGTTCCCATACACTAATGCCACTGACCCTGATGTACTCCTTCTCTGTATGGTGGCATCACTTGCCCAGTTTGCATCACTGTGCATGATCAGTGGCTCTTGTGACATATTTCCCCTATAAACTAATCCAACTTTCTTTGTGCCTTTGAGGTAGCATAAGACCCATTGTGCTGCCTGATAATGCTCTTGTGATGGTTCACACATGTGTCTAGCAAGGACACTCACAGTGAGGCTAAGGTCAGGCTGGGTGCTGTTGGCAACCCAGAGCAGCTTGCCAATGATCACCAGATACTCCTTCTGTTGTGCTGTGCTTGTGACAAGGGTTCCCTCTGGTATGCTCTGCATTGGAACCATGGTTGGCTTGGTATGTTTGTCCAGGTGCTTAGCCAGCACTTGGTCAATGTACCCTGACTGACCAATCATCATGGTGCACATCACATGGTTTTGACTGATTTTGATGCTGAGGAAGTGAGAGACCTCACCACTATCTTCCATCTCTGACCAATCTGCTTCTTAACCTTTAGGACTGTTTCCAGCCATGGTGCTATGACTAATGTATCATTGACATAGATGACCATGATGGCCATATCTTTGCCCTGTCCCTTGGTGTAGATGCAGGGAGTGCACTCTACCTGGAAGAATCCCATGCATCACAAATGTCAGGGGTCTCGCGCCTGAAACCCAGGTCGGTCTGTCGAGATACTCGGTGACTATCAAACTGTGTGACAGCTATTGTCTCGGTATCGGTGACTATCAAGTTGTGCAGTGACAGCAGGTGGCGTTCGTTGTATATACTATCGTAGGTTTCGGCTGACCTCTGTGGACACTCCGTTCAGGGGTAGCTTGGCACGATCAATATCAATGCTTTGGTTATGATGACACCAAGGTCTGGTGTGAGTGTTGATGATGATGAGGTTGATGTCGTTGGTGATAAGGTTGGTGAGTGTTGATGATAAGGAGGTTGATGGTGTTGGTGATAAGGTTGGTGGTGTCAACACAAGTGTCCAGTGTGTTGACTTGATGCTTGAAGTGACCCCCGGACCACAGTGGACTACTGCCTTCGGTTCTATCTATATCTGGACTGCTAACCTGCTATGGGCGCCTTCGGACATCAGGTAGTGGTGATACAACACACACACTACAATGAGGAGCAACCTTGATAGATTGCTGCTATGCTGGCTGTAACTAATGAGTACTTATGTTTCTAAGTATTGACTAGTTGTATGGTGAGTAGAGTGGATGAGGATCCACTTGACCTATGATGATGAGAAAGCATGGTTATATACCTCTTCTCAGCATCACCAGCAATGCTGCTCCTGCTCTCTCTCCAGAGAGTACCTTCTTCATCGAGTACTGCTCAGGGGCCTCTCCTGCTTGGCACCCCTGTGCCTCTTGAGCTGTGTTGACTCCTTCGACACTGCTCCTCCTCCTCATGACCTGGTGTCGACTCCTTCGACACTGCTCCTCCTCCTCATGACCTGGTGTCGACTCCTTTGACACTGCTCCTTCTCCTTTGATCAGTGACAGTTCCTTTGGCTCTTGTCTCTCGAGCCCCTGAGTGGTAACCATCTGCATGCTCCTTGAGCTTGGTCCTCTTCGTGGCTGTGCCTGCTCCTTGAGCTTGGTCCTCCTCGTGGCTGTGCTTGGCCCTCCTTTGCATGTGAGTCCATAGGAGTCCATGGTCTCCATGGAGACTGCACTACGACCATGCTCTCTACTGATCTCGACTAGATCTTCGATACCTGTGCTCCTTCCATATGAACCCGTGACCCTCCTGCTTCTTGAGCATCCAGGCCCATGACATTGGGTACCATCATTCTGCTTTATCATAGTCCCAAACTCATCAAAGGTTACTCATGCACCATTCTTGATCAAGCCTTGTACAGACAATAAATTAGAATTGAGCTTCAGCACATAGAGCACATCCAATAGCTGGATGGTAGCCTCACCAACCTGAAGGGAGGCATCTCCTATGGCTTTTACCTGAAGCTTTTCATCCCCTGCCATACTGATCTGACTGTCCTTGCTTGTCGAGGTGAGCAGCATCCTCTCATCATTTACCATATGATGGGTTGCACCTGAATCGACAATCCAGGTGTTGCATGCTGATTGCTCTTCCCCATCAATCACTAGGGAGGTGCACCCGAGTTCCTAGTGACTCAGTTCTTGTGTTGCACGAGTAGCAGGTTTGCTCGTGGTTGATGCAGGGTTGTTCATGCAATTTCGAGCAATGTGATTGGGTCCTCCACAGGCATAGCATCTTGGAGGGGCTGAGGGGTTGTGTGGATCGCGCCTCCCCCTGGGCCTCTGCTCCACCTGACCAGTGGCCCCTTGCTCTGTGCTTGTAGTGACCCTGGCTGCTCCTCTGATGTGACCTGATAGCTTGCCGTCTTGCTGTTTCTTCATGAGTGCATGGTAAGCTTTGTCATACTTACAGTCTGGTTTGGCCATCTTGAGTGCATCGACAGAGTTAGCATAGAACCAATCCTGAGCTGTACAGCAGTAAAGGGTGGACTTCTTGAGGTCTTCATCAAAATGTTTCCCTAGGTGCACTGCATCATTCCAAATGGAGTCAAGTTCCTTGCCTAGTCTGACAACATCCCAATTGTACAGTTGTACAGTGTGGATGTGGTCCTGCAGGCCTGCTCACTTCACTGCATCGTTCAATGTTAGTGCCTTCCTAAGCTTAGTGTAAAGTGTACTTCCAAGTTGGACCTCCTCATCTGCACCCCTGATGGTGTATGTGTTGATGCAGCTTTCCAGACTGTGATCACAGCAAGCATGGATGAGGCCTACCAGTGCCTTGTCCAGGTCCTCATCATATCCCTCGCTTCCAGGAGCTATTTTGCCATATAAGATTTCCTTCACATTGCATACCTGTTGCAGACAGTCAATAAAGGTAGGCTCCCAGGTATGCCAGTTGTTATCACTGAGCTTCTTGATGTGTGCAATGGCACTTGAAATGTCCTTGGGAATCTTCTCTGCCTCCCCTTTTGGAGCTTGACTGCTAATGCTGACAAGGCTCATCACTTGTACAATTGCTTCCTCCACTGTCAATGCCAGGTTTGCCAACTGTAAGATCCTTACTACCTGCATGAGCCAACCCTCCTCGCAACCATTGCCTGCAGTGGCAGCTGCTTGATCATCATCTCTCTCCTCCCTTCCCATCTGTCCTGCTTGTGTTGATGGAGGCATTATACTTGCCATCAGACTCTTGATGTGTCAATGTCATGTTGAATGTCATGGGTTTGAGCCCCACGTTGGGAGCCAGTTGAAGTTTTCATATGATTGATGATGATGGTTAGAGAGAGAGAGAGTGAGAAGTGAGAAGGAGTCTGTATATATACAAAAGAGGAGTGGCAGAGAGCCGCATCGACTGCGGAGCAAAACAAAGCATTTGTCTTGAGTAGGTTGTGACACATGCGGTCCGTGCTCAGATGCTCAAGCCTTTTACTCGGCCGTAAGCACTACCTTCGCAGTCTCTACGCTTTGTGTAGCTTTTATCTACTTCAACTCTTTAGTGTTGCTCTCAACTTTCTTTTTCACCGAAATGTTTCTCAGAAGAATGTTAAAAAGTTGCGCACGCATTGCACGCTTTGCTAGCATGTGTCGTACAGATAGATGATCTGCAATTTTTGAGCGTTTTGGCCTTTCTTCAGCTGTGGTGTGACTGTAAGAAAGGACTGTGCAGCATGGGACCGAGCAAGCTTGAAAAGCTCGGATACACTCTGGAAGAAGCGTTCTGCGTGGGCTGATGGCCATGTGACTTTTGCCCCGTAGCAGCCTTTGAATCGCTGTCATCGCCCTACTCAGCATTCAACTACCATGATCAGTTGGCATCTCGGTTGACGACTACCATCATCACTGCTGCGCAACATCAAGATGGCCGACTCCATCTACGCTCCTCACAATCAGCAGAAGCTCGAGGCATCACGAGCTGCCGATGCTGGTGCTTCCGACACCGCCTCGCCTACCAGCCCTTCTTCACAAGACAAGAACGGCTCGAATGGATCCCCTCAACAGCCAATCAAGGAGGACGAGGAAGAGAACGACGTCCAAGACAGCGACCGACCTCATCCTCATCTCACACGTCCTTTGCTCCACATCAGCGGCGTCGACCCCACCATGACCGACAAGCATCTCGCGGGTCTCGTCTTTGAAAGCGTCCTCCCCGTCCGTCTCAGGATCGATCGCAACGTACCTGAAGGTCAGAGAGCCAACGGCACCGTCGAGTTCCAAACCCTTTACAAGGCCGAGAAAGCATACGCCATCGTTCGACCTCCCATCGTGCTTCGTATCGAGCAGCAGACTGCGCCCACCGAACCAACAGCCAATGCCAAACCAAGACTGGTCAAGCAGCTTCCCTCTACTACTGATGATGCTCTCGTCTACGACCTCTTCCGTCGCTTTGGTCCACTTCGACGCGCTCAATGCATCCTCACCAACCCTGCCGGCATCCATTCCGGCTTCAAGGGTATGGCCTTGCTCGAGTTCTACTCCGAGCAGGATGCTCAGCGCGCCGAAACCGAGATGCACTGCGCTGACGTAGGAGGCAAGACCATCTCGGTTTCCATCGACACTGCTACTCGCAAAGTCAGTGCTAGTGCAAGCGAGTTCCGCCCCTGTACCACCGCAACTCCCTTTGTCCCCACTACCAACGCCATGAGCCCATCTGCTCCCTCCTTCTCTCCCCTAGGCCCCACTCCAGCCTCTCGTTCCGTCTCAGCAGGCTCCTCTGCTTCCTTCTATGCTACTCCTGGCGCATCCTCCTCTCCCAACGATATCCACTCCCTCAGCCGTCAAGCTTCCCGGGCCACCTTGCAATACTCCAGCCAAGCATCTACCTACGTCGACCCTTGCAACCTCTTTATCAAGAATCTCGACTCTGAAATCGAGTCCAACGGTCTCTTTGACACTTTCAAGGCTTTTGGTCACATCGTCTCGGCACGTGTCATGCGCGACAATGACGGCAAGAGCAGAGAGTTTGGCTTTGTCAGCTTCACTACGCCGGAAGAAGCTCGTCAGGCATTGACAGCGATGGATGGTGCTAAGTTGGGGAGCAAGAAGATCACCGTGAGATTGCATGAGCCCAAGACGATGCGACAGGAGAAGCTCGCTGCTCGTTTCGCTGGTGCTAATGGTGAGGGTGCAGACGCTGGTCCTGGTGCTGCTGCTAGCGGTGCTTCTCCCTCAAACGGTTCCACCAGCAAAGCAGACAAGCGTCAAAGCAGGAGCTACTTCAAAGCTGGTGTGCCTGCCGATGCCAACGGTCTCGCCGACGAAGAGCAACTGCGCGCTCTCAGCAATGTCGTGCGAAACGAGCTGCTCTCCGGCGAGTTCACACGCAGAGTCCAGCAGTTGCCCTCCATCAAAGCAGCCCAGGTGGACAACATTGTCAGCGAACTCGTCAAGCTCAAGCTTGACAAAGCCGTAGATGCACTCAACAACCCTATCTCTCTCATTCAGCGAGTCAATGATGCTCGTGATCGTCTCCCTCAATCGCCAGTCTCAGCAGCGCAACCGGGCTCGTCGTCGACAGGGTCCTTGTCTGCAGAGAAGCCCGCGTTGCTCGGTGTTCAGACCCAACGCAGTGTCTCCAGCACAAGTTCGGTCGGTGAGGGAAGCGCATCTGCCAAGGAGCGCGTGAGGCTGCTCAAGGCTATCATCTCGGTCTCTGAAGCAGGTGCACCTGTAGAAGACATCACTGACATGCTCGCCAGCTTGCCCAAGAAAGACCGAGCATTGGCGCTGTTCAACCCCGAATTCCTCAAGCAGAAGGTTGAAGAGGCTAAAGACATTCTCGACATCACTGATGAGAGCGGAGAAGATCTGCAGCCATCAACACAGAGCAAATTTCTTAAGGACTCAAGCAGTAGTCAGTCGCCCAGTCCTGCTCCTGCTCCGGAGGAGTCCGAATCGACAGCCCAAGTCCACACCCTATCCTCACTTGCAGCTTTGCCTGCGGAGGAGATCATCCGTCTCGCCACTTCACCCACCAGCTCTGGTCTGCCGTTGCCAAAGGCAGATTCCGAAGTCGTCAAATCTACCGACGCATTCATCGACTCTCTTGCAGCCAAAGCAGCGCACGATCAGAAGCAGAAGTTGGGAGATCAGCTATTCAAGAAGGTCCGCAGCTTTGGTGTCAAAGGCGCTCCCAAGCTGACCATCCATTTGCTTGATACAGAGAATTTGAGAGCGTTGGCGCATCTGATGGACTCGTACGAAGTTGTGTTGAAGGAGAAGGTGCAGCAGAAGGTTGCGGCTGGGTTGAACAAGTAAATAGGTAACACTCCTTAGCGTCACCTTTCTTCAATTTCCAGATACACTCTTGAAATTCACACTCTTTCGATCTCTAGATACACTCTCTTAGTCGCACATATAGCTCGTTACTCTTTCAAGAAGATACCTTCGTTTACTCTACTGCACCGAATGTGGTATATGCGTGGTAGTATGATGAGAAGATGTTGATGAGCAAGGAGGGAAGCTTGACACGGCTATGCATAATAATAAGATTGGAGGAAAAAAGGACCACGTGTTTCCGCGGAGACAAATGTCGCGATTGTGATGCTGTGCGCCAGCGATCCAACCGGCGGACTTGCTTCGGCTTCAGCTTCCTTCTTCCTTTTCCCCCCCTTTCTCCTCTCCATCACCATAAACTTCAACTTGCGTCGCCATCCTCGCCATCTCGTCGGTGTCTGATCCGCACCATGTCACAACCTCCCAGCGTCAGAGAAGAAGCCTCAGAACCCTTTCTCCCATCTACCACTACCGCTTCATCCCACGAAGAATCGCCCATCACACCAATCGAAATGATTCGACACGAAAACCTATCTCGGCACTCCATTTTGATTCAAGCTTCCGCCCTACTCTTTGTTGCTGCTGTATGGTCAATCGTCTTCAGCTCTTTCTCTTTCACTTCCTTGCCTTTATTCGGCTACCATCCGCTTATTCAATCACTCACAATCCTCCTCCTCCTCCAAGCGATTGTCGTTTTACAACGAACCACCCCATCGCAACCAACCGAAAAGAAATCTGCCTTCACCGCACATCAAACTATCAACCTCCTTTTCGCCCTCCCATTGTTCACTGCAGGAGCAAGTATTATGTGGTATCTCCACCACAAGCCTAATGCGGCACATTTTATCAGCTATCATGGAATTTTAGGAACGGGAGTGGTGGTTGCGGCGTGGATTCAAGCTGCGTTAGGGGCTGCTAGCGTCTGGTGGAAAGGGAAACTAGTGGGTGGGGAAAATAAGGGTAAGGCTTTGTGGAAGTGGCATAGATTAAGCGGATACGTTTTGGTGGGGCTGTTTTTGACAACGGCGGTTCTGGGAGTGCTGGAGGCGACCTGGGGAAAGGGAAACGCGGGAAATGTGCAAAAGTTGCTGGCGGTGGTGGGGTTGGGGTTGTCAGGGTTTGCGCTGTTAAATAGGGTCAGGGTTGGCAAGTTGCCCAAGTTGAGAGGTTGAGGTGGGAGGAGTGATAGGGGAGTTTGTAAGATACTGTGCGATGTGCTCGCAATGAAGTTGAAGAAGGGTGAAGAGAGATAAAGAAGTGGTGAGAGGTGATACTGTTTGATGCTGGAGTACCGGGGTGAATGCCTACCTGCTGTTTTCTATGTTACGGAGAACCTATTAGGCCATCGAACTGATCATCTCGTTGAGCCGCAGTAAAGGCGAGCATGTGCCAAGATCCAACCACGAAATATGACGGGTCCCTTAGGAGCTCAGAGAGACAGCAGCCTATCCTGAGCTGACCTGCCGGAACGGACGCCTTCTGACCTCCTGCCTGCATTGCAGCACACAAGGCCATCTTTGCAATTGGTCTTTGGCGACAGTCTTCGCCTCTCTCGTAATGACCAGCTTTGACAGTCAAGGCGACCTGGACGATCGAAATCATCCTACTCATCAAGCTTCCAATCTTTGCTCAATCAAGATCAGATACAACGCTATTTGACATTCATATAAGGATAGCTATTGTATGAGCGAAAGGAGAGATTACAATCGGATAACGAAGGCGTACGTCGAAACAAGACTGGTAAAGGAAGAGCATCACTGCTGCTTATTGCCCCACAAGTGCGCAAGATCGAACAGAGGGATGTTGAAAGGGAAGTCCGTCGCAGCCAAGCACAGGTGCAGTAGAATATAAAACCCGCCCATGCAAGCAGTAAAACCGCAGGCACCAGCCGCAGTAACCAGGTTACCCGCCATAGCGTTTGCTCCCTCTCCAAACTTGAGATACGCGGCACCCAATGTACTAAATGCGAGCGCAACAAAGAGCAGAATCCACACCAATACAACATTAGTCCTGAACGCGGCGAAGGTGAGGAAATAGGTGTAGACGGCCCAGAAGACAAGGTAGAACCCAAAAGGAACGTAGTATACTTCTGGAGAGCCACCTTGAGCGGTGAGAAGGGTAGATTGAACCGCGAATCTAGGGTCTAGATAGCCGCCTAGGGTGAGCCAGAAGGTGCCAAAGGAGGTGAATACGAGGGCGGGGAAGGTGTTGCCAATGATGAATTCGAGGATTCCGGCTACGTAGAGTGCCATACCGCCCATGAAGTAGTATGCGCCGATAAGAGCGAGGAGCGAATTGGAGGTTGCACCTCGCCAGCCCATGAGACAACATGAGGTGGGGGCAAAGATGAGAAGGAATGAGACGATGCCGAGGGCTGTAGGGTTGCCGAGCGTTTTGACCAGGCCCATTTGACCACGGGACTTGATCGAGGGTTGGAGGTACAGTTCTGTGAAGGCATAGCGAAAGTGAAAGTATGGGGATCAAGTCAGGGGTGGTCAGTAAGTGCTATAACGAGGATAAAGGTGATGTAGAGGGAGGTGTGGACGTACCTTCGAACTGCTGCGGGGTCAGAGTGACCGAAATCTGACGACCGAAATCATGACCATTGGTTCCGTCAGGGTTTTGATAGGTAGGATGCTCGTTTGAAGCTGCTTCGGATCCTTTTGTCGCCATCTTTGCAAAACTTTACTCTCTGTCTCTCTCTGTCTCTCTCTGGAGGAACCGTCTTTGATGTATCTCTTGTAGTGGGAGGTATTGCGGATGCCGTGATTTGGCTGTACTGCACAGGAGGATGTAGAAGCTGGAATCGGGTGCGGGGGGGCGAAATCTACCACAGCATCAAGAGGCTATTATACATCTGGCCCTGGGTCTGCAGAGTGCAAGACTGAGGCTCGAGCGTAGAACGAACAGGGTCAGGTGGTCCAACCCTCTCTCGCTTCAGGAGCCCAGCGGCATCTAGCGTCAACGGGGCAAATAACACAGACGCAGACAGAGAAGACACGGAAGCGCTTAAACCAACATATGCTCAACAAAACCCTTTTCTTGTGACACAGCGAGGCGCGCGAGGCGGTCGACCCAACCCAGCAGCAGCGAGAGCATTCCTGGTTCTCGGTGCGAGTGGAGTTGGACTTAAGGCGGGATAGACTAGCAGCAACAGAGGCGGCGGCTATGCGCTGTAGCGCCATTCTCGACCTTGTTCCAGATGAATTAAAGAAACGCGCGCACTCATTAAGAGCCAAAGTTTCTTTGAGCTGTCACTCGTGCAGCATCGAAAAGAATGCGGGGTAAAAAGCAAAGGTCAGCTGGTCTTGCAACTTCCCTTCAACGCCTTTGGAGTGGCGGTCCCCTTCCTCGATGGGATTCATCTCTCTCTGTCTCTCCAGCTTTGAGATTAGGCATGTATACTCCGCTCCGAGAGCAGGAAAGCATTGTTTAGTCTCAACGGGCTGGACGCAATCTTTGCAATGTAGCTTCGGTGTGTCGTTCTTGCCCGTCCTCGGCTACGACATGGGATCTCGCGCGGTTTGCTGCGCCCTCTAAGGAATGACATCTGGTGGATCCTGTAGCATGGTGCGGCTTTTGAGAACTGGTTGGGTATGCAGTCACTACTGCAGCTCTGTTCTCTCAATCGAACAGAGAGTCTTGTGTCGTAGTTAGTTAGGGTCTACGTGGACTAAGCGCGTAGTCTGCGGGAGGTTGCCGCGAGAGCCATCCAGCGGGATGCTGCCACTCACACCTTCTACAGCCTCTGCACTCTGATTTGTGGCTGCTGAAGACTAGCGCCATCACTACTCTTGCTTGATAAGAAGACGGGTGGACGACCTTGTGGCGAAGAGAAGGTTGATGCACATCACCTCGTAAACGGCATTTTCGCAGAGATTCAGATCAGACACGCCAAACGTGTCTGCCCCGCACTTAACCCCCAGAGGGGGCAGGACCCCATGCCCAGGGCCCATGATGATGTTAGAGGGAGGCAGGTATATTGGCTCGAGCCAGACCAATCACCCAGTATTGCACCAGCATACCAGCTAAGTAGATGTCTGAGGAGGGAGGAGGTAGCTTTGCCACTGAGTTTCCCCATCATGCTCTGCTCCACTGCTGTAGATATATAAGAAGTGGTACTTAGTCATAAGCCCCTGTAGAGAGGACTATCCATCTGTACTTATGTTCATCATTGTCACCATATGTAATCAAACTGCATCCTACCATCTAAGCCTGTCAACCTTCAACAGATAATGATATGTCATGCTGCATCAAAGATAAAGGAATCCTATGGATAGCCTTGATAAGCATATTGAAAGTGCTGTTGTGGTCATGATCTGCTGAGTAGACACAGGTTGGGCATCAGAATTGTTTACTTGCACCTAGTCTTTGGTTGAGTTTGCTACACTGAGAGCAGGTCTTTGATGTATATGCTTCTGGTTGTAAAAGAAGCACTTTGGCTGCCCATGTTTATGCAGATAGTGCAGATCATGAGCAACATTGTGGCATTTGACCAGCAAATGGTTGATGAAGTTGCAGTGTCCCCTGTCATGGGCCTGGATGCTCAAGAAGCAGGAGGGTCACGGGTTCATATGGAAGGAGCACAGGTATCAAAGATCTAGTCGAGATCAGTAGAGAGCATGGTCGTAGTGCAGTCTCCATGGAGACCATGGACTCCTACGGACTCACATGCAAAGGAGGGCCAAGCACAGCCACAAGGAGGACCAAGCTCAAGGAGCAGGCACAGCCACGAAGAGGACCAAGCTCAAGGAGCATGCAGATGGTTACCACTCAGGGGCTAGGAGAAGGAGCAGTGTCGAAGGAGTTGACACCAGGTCATGAGGAGGAGGAGCAGTGTCGAAGGAGTCGACACCACTCAAGAGGCACAGGGGTGCCAAGCAGGAGAGGCCCCTGAGCAGTACTCGATGAAGAAGGTACTCTCTGGAGAGAGAGCAGGAGCAGCATCGCTGGCGATGCTGTGAAGAGGTATATAACCATGCTTTCTCATCATCATAGGTTGAGTGGATCCTCATCCACTCTACTCACCATAACTAGTTATCACTTCAGCATAAGTATATATTAGTTTCAGTCAGCATAGCAGCAATCTATCAAGGTTGCTCCTCATCGTAGTGTGTGTGTTGTATCACCACTACCTGATGTCCGAAGGCGCCCATAGCAGGTTAGCGGTCCGGATATAGATAGAACCGAAGGCAGTAGTCCACTGCGGTCTGGGGGTCACTTCAAGCATCAAGTCAACACACTGGACACTCGTGTTGATGCCACCAACCTTATCACCAACACCATCAACCTCCTTATCATCAACACTCACCAACCTTATCACCAACGACATCAACCTCATCATCATCAACACTCACACCAGACCTTGGTGTCATCATAACTGAAGCATTGATATTGATCGTGCCAAGCTACCCCTGAATGGAGTGTCCACAGAGGTCAGCCGAAACCTACAATAGTATATACAACAAATGCCACCTGCTGTCACTGCACAACTTGATAGTCACCGATACTGAGACAATAGCTGTCGCACAGTTTGATAGTCACCGAGTATCTCGACAGACCGACCTGGGTTTCAGGCGCGAGACCCCTGACATCCCCAACCCAGCAGCCTCCATTGGGTGTTTTGGTGCAAGTTCCCATTCTTCCTTTGTATCATCTTGTGAACCTCCATCCTTGGCATGACCACAATGTTGGTTGAGGCCACTAGATAGTTTGCCATCTGGCAATGTAGATCTTTGATAAGCTGCTGCAGCTTTTTGCAGACCTTTTTTGAACACTTTTGAAGCTTGTGGTGTTGCACAGATGACAAGGCAAATGGCAGGGCTGGACAGTGTTGGCAAGCTTCCTGTGGCTGAGCTTGGACTTGCTGAGACAATTGAGGATTGGAATTCATTTGTGGTGGTGGCAGTGACTGTTGATAATGTGATTGATGTCTCCAATGACAACTGCTTTGGATCTTGTCATTACATCTGCAGAGTTGCTCCAAGTGGATACCATTGTCTTGAGAGCCTACATCAAGCATGCAGCCATCAGAGGAATACACAGCAAACAGGGTCCTGACACCAGGATTGACAGACTTGACAACAATGGCTTGCTTCAGAGATTGCTCTTGTGGAACAACAGAAGTTGGCACACTGTAGCAAAGAAGGAAGTACCAATTGCCATATTGGTCCAGCTGGATGCCCCACTTGTGACCAGCTTTGAGCTTGGTTGTATGCAATTGTGAAACAGCCTTGCAATGGTCCTTGAGGAAGTGGCATCCTCTTTGGCTGTGCAGGCAAATCTTAGCCCAGGTATTCTCCTCACAACCAAGGGTATTGTCCTGGCCCCCACTGCAATGCTTGACAGTCTTGGGTGCAATCCTCAGCTTCGGGGCACCAAGACTCCTGTCATGGGACCAGATGTGCAGGAAGCAGGAAGAACCAAAGTCATATGAGGAGAAGGTGCAGGAATCGCAGGATTGGGCAAAACAAGGGGTTACAACAGAGTTCATTGAGATAGGTAGTAGTGAGGCTCTACAACAAGATTTGTCCAAATCGGTATGAGCAGGATCTTACAATGAAGCCCACTGGAATCAGTAGTATCATGATTGTACAACAGATCTCACAGAAACTGGTGAGAGGATGTCAATATCATGGATCTCACAATAGGACATGTGGTGATGATATCTGGGTCCACCACTCCAATGGAGCAGGGGGCCTACTCAATGATGAGCTCAGAGCAGGAGGATGGGTGCAATGAAGAGGGGGGTGAGTCACCACTTGGACAAAGTGGGAGTGGCCCCTATCAATGATGAAGCAACACAAGGACCTTCCTGTCACAGGACTGGATGGATGCGCAGGAAGTGGATTCATATGAAGAGACCTTGCACAATAATTGTGGATTGGGTAAAAGGAGAGTTCCAACAGAGTTCAGCAAGATTGGTAGGACCAACAGCTCTATGACAGAACTCATTGAGATCAGTAGGAACAAGGCTGCTACTACAGAGTTCAGTGGGAATGGTAATATCACACTTGTACAACAGACCTCACAGGAATTGGTTAAAAGATGCATCTATTGCCAATGCCACAAGAGGATGATGATGAACATGGGAGAGGTCACCACCAGATGAGGAAGGGGACCTTGCACGATGATGAAATTGGTGCCAAAGATGGGTGCTGGCACCAGGAGGTAGATGAAAGGGGGGGTGCACTGCCACTAGGATGAAGTGGGGCAACCCCTGTCAATGATGAAGTGACAGTTGGCACTTCTCAACCATGAAGATACAGGAGGAGCAGGGCTCAACGAAGAAGGCACTCTTTAGAGAGAGAGGGAGCCAGAGCAGAGTTGCAGGCGACACTGTGAGGTTGTATATAACTGTCATGGGCCTGGATGCTCAAGAAGCAGGAGGGTCACTGGTTCATATGGAAGGAGCACAGGTATCGGAGATCTAGTCAATACCAGTAGAGAGCATGGTTGTAGTGCAGTCTCCATGGAGACCATGGACTCCTATGGACTCACATGCAAAGGAGGGCCAAGCACAGCCACGAGGAGGACCAAGCTCAAGGAGCAGGCACAGCCACGAAGAGGACCAAGCTCAAGGAGCATGCAGATGGTTACCACTCAGGGGCTCGAGAGACAAGAGCCAAAGGAACTGTCACTGATCAAAGGAGAAGGAGCAGTGTCGAAGGAGT